GCCACTCTGATTATGTACAATCTGTAGCATTCTCTCCAGATGACACAAAGGTGGTTTCAGGGTCTGATGATAGCACTGTCAGGATTTGGAATGCAACTACTGGAGCTGAAGAGCAGAGGTTTGATAGCCACTCTGGTTATGTATACTCTGTAGCATTCTCTCCAAATGGCACAAAAGTGGTTTCAGGCTCTAAGGACAGCATTATCAAGATTTGGAATGCAGCTACCGGGGCCGAAGAGCAGAGCTTCAATGGTCACCATGGTGCGGTTTACTCTGTAACATTCTCTTTGGATGGCACAAAGGTTGTTTCAGGCTCTAAGGACACACTGTTAAGATCTGGAATATAGCTACTGGAGCAGAAGACACCTGTGAATCCCACATAACCCTTCTAGTTAGGAAGGGAGGTACAGTGCACCTTCCATCCTAATTAGAAAGAAACTGCTCAAACTCCCTATGCTGTGATAAATACTGCAATAAAGCTGCTATAAAGTTCAGATCTAAGACCTTGGAGTGACAAGTCCACTCATGGCTGATGTTTAAGATCATTAGGACCTTCCAAAAAAAGGCAATTCTGCTCTCCAGACCAATAAAGCATTAATATAACGCTTTATATATTATCAACGATGAATAATTACACACTCTGGAGACTTGTGCTTATTTCAGCGCCTGAGTCACGCTGTTACACCGGTCAGATAGTGTGACAAATTTCCAAAAAAGGAAATTTTCGTTATTGGATAGTACAACCATCAGAGAATGTCACAGATCGTCACAAACCAAAATTGTATATTTTTTGTATACAAGCAACTTTCATTAAGTAACATATTGTGCCAGTTAAATGGTTATGCCAGCACTAGCCAATCACTAACTGATCTACAACTGATGAGCCTCTATCTCCATAATTACTTGAGGTAAATACATGATTCAAGTACCACCAGGAAGCCTTTGAACAGGACCATTAATTGACCATGTTATTTGATCAACATCATACCATATGGTGACTATATTTAATTCTCAGTCATAATCAAAGGAATATCTGGTACTTAACCCAATGTGTGGTAGGTAACTTATATGTTCGGATACTCCAAACCAGGGCTCTGACATTTTAGTTTCAGATCCTGAGTGAATATGATACTAGCAATGCAATGTATTCACACATTAGTAGTATTTGATCTCCATCAACCCTGAAAGATAACCATGGATCTCAAGCTAGTCAGGGTAGATAAAGCTGGGAGAGTGCTCATTTAAAAGGTATATCATCCTACCATTATCCCATCCATCTATCCATCTCATCTGGTACCATCACATTGACCTATGGACTGCCAAGCATAATTGAATACTGAATTGAGAAGCATTTTGCTGATATTTTGAGACTACATCCATGGAATCTTATGATCCAAGTTGATATGATGACATATAATAGTCTACTATAATCTCATCCATTTGTGGTCATACCATAACTGTTAGGACTAGTCAATCCTTTCAGGCCTGAGGTGTTATGTAACACAGGATGGAGATAGGCTAGAGGGTCAGGGGCACCACTTTCTGGGAGGTATACCATATCCCTACTAGTAGATATACTCAGATTCCTGAGACTCACAAAGGTCATGCCATGGTGAGCTCATCATCTTTGGGATAGATAACACTGATAATGGTACTGTGAGAGATCCAGATTAGCTATGAGGTTGATTCAAGTGCTAGACAGGCTCATTTGAAAGTCTATACCATCCTATATTCAAGTTTTGGATCATACTTGAAATTATTTTCTGACCAGTTGTAATAGCGAAGGCACTCTCTTTTGCTCTATAGGTACCTACCCTCTCTTCAGGTACCTTCAGTGGCATCTGCCAGAACCACAACTGATTATGGTACAGGGTCCTAGTGGACATCCAAATATCCTTATACACCCACCTGAATGTCCAGTAGCTCAGTCTACACCACCAACCCGGCATGACACTTGGCCGATGTCATGCCAAAATGTCGCCTGACATCAGGTTGTGACATCAAGATCGGATATCCGTGATGTCAGGACGAAATTGAATGCGCATATCTTCCTGACATCTGTTTGACAAGGGATATCATACAGACATCCTGAGGTGGACCAGCGCCAGACAAGGCTGTGACAAATGGGGGATGCCTACTGAATGGTACAGAACACTCAAAAAGACAGGCAATAATGTATATTGTGCTGTAGTAACTACATACATAATATATACTGACTAATTGCAACCCTATGTGTGCGCTATGGATGTACACCGAGGCCGCACCGGGCGCAGCAGTTGCCCAACGAGCCGGCGCATCCTTCTCGCTCAGACACTACCCGCCGATCAATTGCTTGCCCGCACCGTTGCTGAAGCTGGTTGCGCCCAAAGGATTGAAGGGTGGGCCGCAGCAGCACTGCCGGCCCTCAGCGACTCCATGGGCACCGCATTTGCCAGCTGGGGGGAGGTCAGCGGGGAAGAAGGGGGACGATAGGGAGGGGGACAAACCGTTCTCGGTGCAGTAGCGCAAGGCACAGTCCGCCTTGGACGAGCGGTGATGAACTGGGTGCCCCAGGGGATGCGCTGGACGACCGTGCCAGAAACACAAGCGCCACTACGAGCAATATCAGCGTTGGAAAGAAAAGTGGGCCTGGGGAAAGGGAGACACACCGTTAACAGCAAACACAAGACTGCGTTGCGACCGTGGGTGTGGGGAGTCTGGACGCTGTCCAAAAGGACTGACAACGTGAATCATGGCTGGGCTACCCGGCGTCGCGTCAGCCAAACACAACCCGGAGAGACGAAGGTGTCGCACCTAGCCCAGGCCCACAGCATGCACTGGCCAACTGACATCCTCTGAATTGGTGTTGTTTGTGACACATAGTAATATATAGCCTAATAATGGTAGGGGCAGTTGGGGAAACAGTTGCCTGGGAGGGTAGCTGCACTAAACTAGGTGAGAGTTATTTTAAGGCCTGTTGAGAGTATTGCCAGCCCCGGCAAATGATACAATCATTGCGGCTGTCACCGGCTCTCAACAGGAATTCCACTTTTTCCTAATGGGTAGTTTTACTGAGTCATGTCTGATAGTACTTAATCTTGTCATTATTCTATCAAGTTTCTGAAATGTTTGTATCCTTTGCCTTCCTTCATATCTGGAATTTTTAGCTTAGTGAATGTCAGGGAACCTCCCTTTCGGCCCCTGGAGACAATTACAGTCTGATTCTGATTCTGGTCCGACCCCCGCTCAAGCCCACACCACTGGCATCACAGAGCTGTCAACACCCTCGACCTGGCCTGTGACACTGCCCAAGCCTTCTATGCCCGGCAGCAGCAGCTACAGACAAGCCGTATATAGTCAGCTACCTAGTAGGCAACTAGCAGGTGGACCCTTAGGGCTCGTTCGGTAACGAGAAACCAGCGCGGTGTCACGGATAAGACCCGGCCCGTCCGCTCCGGGCGCTGGTGTCGGGCCATCGCGGGCCCGTAGCACGCAGCACGTGACGACGGGGAACATGCGCCCCAGTAGGAGGAACGCACACGTGGGAAGCACGTGACCGAGAACGATGCGTCGAGCCGTCGCCGAGCCCAACTCGACACAAGGGGACTGGGGAGGAGTGCTAGGAGGTCAGGAGTAGCGCCTGGCCCGCAAGGGATGTACGATCGTCCCCTCTGCGGCCAGGAACGGGAGCGAGGAGGAGGAGGAGAGGCCAGGGTGTCCGATCACCCCCTTTGCGGGCCCGCGTATATAAGGCGCGATAGTGTACCCTGTACTCTATCACTTAGATCGTCTGAAGAACTACCTTACTCCGTGCAAGGAGACGCTGTCGACTCATCGGGCCCGACACGACCCGATTCGAACCTTCGACCACCGACTACGGCAAGGGACCGAGTTCACGGGCCCTTTCGGTTTCGATCTACCCCGCCCACCGTACTTGCGGGCCCGACTATCCGTCTGTTCTGTTCCGGGCGCGCGTTCTTAGGAGAAGTCCTTGCACGGCCCGACCCGCAGTCTGACACGCGGTTTCTCGACAGAAACCAGTTTCTCAGCAGAACTGAGCTTCTGAGCACCGACAGTGTGACTGTCAGCGGGCTGGAAACCATCGTTGATCTGTCCACAGATTGATTTTCCGTCAGTACCGCATCATTTCGGATTTAATCGGAGTACATCGGAGTGTCCAAGACAAGCAAAAAAACAAGTGTTACGGGGGAAACTCTTGGTGAAATGGAACTCTAAAGCTACCAATGTAGCATTTCAATCTATAACACTTGTATTTGGGCATTTTTTCTTCCCCAAAAGTACGCAAAGAGTGCTCGTGACATAAATGTCACATTGGCAAATCTCGGCATATTATGATGCTAACTCGTTGGCCGACTAACCGAACAGTGTTACCCACCTGTGACTGATTCTGCTCAGAAGCTCAGTTTCTCCTGAGAAACTGGTTTCTGTCGAGAAACCGCGCTGGTTTCTCGTTACCGAACGAGCCCTTAGAGTTTCTTCTCTTTAGATCATCCCCTGCTAGGACTTTAATCTCAGGCCTCTAGGGTTGCCCTTGCAGGAAAATGTAATAATAAAGTAAAGCTTAGGTGTCAGCCCCATGATGGCCCCTATCCCATGACTGAATGAAGATTTGATTCAAAAAGCAGGTGCAACCCAAACCTTTGCTGTAAGCCTCTATCCGGTCTTGAAGACATGAATGAGTAACATAAATAATATTGAACTAGCAGCTTAATCAGGCAAATTGAATCAAGTCCAACTGGTGGTTAAAGAGAGATAACTTCAAGTCAGTCATGATACTGTACCTTTCTCATGACTTGGGTCTACAACTTTCATGTAATTTGCTGAACATTGTTTTTATACCATCATGTATCCCAAAAAAATGCAAATGTGTAAGTTGTCAGCCTCCAAAACGCTAGTGATAGAAGGACATCGCCCCGAATAGCGGTGCATGTGGGTATAAGGAAAGTAGATAACGATACAGAGAGCAGGCAAGTTGAGTTGCCGCCGAACACAGGCGAAGACTACTCGCTTGTCGTCGCCGCCCCATACCGCCGACTAAGGACACCGAGCAGCACAAGCAACGCAATGCCACAGAGCACACGCATCAGCTCCGGAAACCCGGGAACGAGCGACTGGCGGTACTTGGGCCGCAGCTTCGTGGCGGGGCGCGTAGGGGTGCGGGAGCGCGAAGGCGAGAGAGAGGGCGTGCGGGAAGGAGAGGAGGAGGAAGTGTTGTGTGAGACGACACATGGCTTCTCGCATGAAGGGCAGAGACCAGTTGCCGCCGGACCGTAAATCCACTAAATAGCCCCAGCTTAGCGTCGCCGGGTATAAGTAAGGAAGGATAACACACCGCATCGATGTGCTCGCGACAAAAGAGCGCGCGACAGCACTCGGTCCGGACTGGATCAACGGCGGTCTCGTCGCTAGGGTGGCTGCTTGAGTAGGGCTCCAGTCAGGAAAACAAGCGACATACCAGATGCCGCAATCAAGGAGTGCCTCCCGCCTGCCCCGCTCAGCAATCTTCAGATGGCCCTTCTCGTCGTACGCGGTCGACAGGCGCATCCGTTGCTCGCGGCTCTGACTCTGATCAACGGCCTTCCTGCGGCGGGTTACGGGGCCCTCGCCGTCGGACGGCTGCGGCGTCGCGGCCCGGGAGTAGTCCGACTCAGCACCGAGGTTGAGCGAGTACTCAACTTCGGGGGCGTCTTGAAAACGGGCGGTCAGCGCAAGGGAGCTTGGATAGGGATAACAGGATTTACACGTGGGCATGGCGAGCTTCATCGCCTTCTTTGCTTTCCTCGGGCTGGCCATGAGAATTCGATACAGGTCGGCGCCGCACGTGGGCGTGTAGTGCGGTCTTTGGGATAGGAAGGCGCGGGTCCTGTGGAGGGCGGATGCAAAAAGGTTATTCGGGAAGGTAGCCTTGCATTTTCACAAGCCAAGCAATAGCGTTTGACGGCATGCCCAGATGGTCTGTCACGCGGTCTAGACCGCTGATCCGAATCGCGCCGAGCCGGAACCGCTCCAGGTTAACCTCCAGCCTCCAGCTACAGCTACTTACACCTGTATGGGTATTCAAGGGACATTTTAAAGGTTAAATGAGGTGAAACCTAAGGATGGGACTGAAGCAAATTACAGGAAATCGAATGAATTCAACCGGAGACCGCAGTACATAAGTAACATAACAAAGTATATACCAAGTATATACTTGTCTCCAACGCTGATTAGCCGCTACACCAGTAGGAGAAACTACGATCAACGACATGCCCAGCGTCGGTCATCCCTCTACTCGTCGCCATAGTGCCACACACCCACGAAGGGAACGGCGTTTGACTCGTTGAACGCGCGGCGAGATGACTGTAAGAATCCAAAACTCTTACGCCGATCATTTTTATAGCTCCACATCATACACGTGATTGGTCCGTGCGCGCGGCAAGAAAGGGTAAATACTGTGCGCATCATGATGCCCGCTTTTTTTATCGAAAGTTTCACCTGGCGGGCTGATATTTGGGGTCTTCGCGCCTTCGATGCGGAAGACCTTGAGCCGTTTTGTCAGGGAGAGCGAGCACTTTCACCTAGATCACGCCGGTAGATTGTAGAGGTCGGCGCTGGCCCGTATGAAAGTTACATTTGCTTTGTCTGTTGTTACTTCCGTGTACTTGGTTGGGACGAGAATAGATTGTGACGTGCACTCCATGCTTGAATTGCGCTACACCTCGCCAAGAGCTCGCTGCCGTTATGGTGGAGGAGCAGGCGCGAGCCGACCGCGACTGATATGTCGACAGTCGCCCAATGAAACAGTCTGGGAGCAGTTCAGAAACCAACGTGTACACGTTGAATATATAAACAGCGCCGCACCCCTGCGCATGATATGCACATGTGCAATGCAGCTCACCACGCACCTCGCCGTCGAGGACAACCATCACCGAATACGCTGCCAGTGCCACGTGGAGCTTCCCAGTCCCAGAAAGTTTGTGTGGGTTTGTGTGCGGGGGGACCCTGCGATTTAGCAGCGTGCGAACGTTAACATGGACTCAGGCACGGCTTCGTGAGCCGGGATGGGCCGCCTTGATCTGCCCGATAATCGATGGGGACGATACGAAGATAAGCGCTAAGCACGCGAGTTTCCGGGAAATGCGGCTTCGGGTCCAATGACCTCGCAGCCCTGACTACTGACCAGGGCCATGCGCGATTTGGTGACCGAGGTCCTGGGCGTGGCATCTCCAGATAGCTGCGACAGGACGGAGAACCCGCGCGACAGACGTCGACGTCAGCCGTTGCGGTGAACTCGCTCGCAAGCCTGGGCAGGCCCTTTCTCCGGCGTCGAGGAGGATGGCCGGGCCGTGTGTTTCAGATTTACCAGGATCGCCCACGATTTGCAGATCTAACGCCGCGTGTCGGGCCGCGAGAATTTCACCGAGCAAAAAGTAGGCACAAAAGTCCAGACCTTCGCATCGTTCAGGAACTGGCACTCTCGAGGGGCTCTCCCAGGTGGCCATTTTCCAGCATCTGGCAGCAACAGCAGACACACGATATGTATGATGACGTCTCGGTTCCCTCCGGCATTTAATTGTCCTGTGCCCAGGCATGTAGCGGTGATAGCGGCTGGATTGGCCGAGGAATTCGATCGGGACGTCCGTGCCGAAACAAACGGTAGTTTGCCGGTCCGCCGCGCCGTCAGTGCTTGCCGCATTCCGCAGCAGCAAATCCCGCTTCTCAGGACAAAGAGCCCAAGTGAAGCTGGAGCGACGGAACACCCCAAGTACAATCTGACCAATCAGTGGAGTATCTTCACAAAAAAGTAGAAACGGGTTTGTGTATCGTTGGCGCCGTAGGATCCGCCCGAGTCACGCGAGAACTCAGCGGGTCCCGCTTGATAAAACCATAATTCTCTTTTGGAGCGAAGATTTCGTGTTTTGGGTCTATATTTATTACACAATGCATGCAGCAGGGATTGGAACGATTCAGACGGACGGTGTTCTTGGCATTGGGCTGTTTTGAGGGCCCAGCCTCCTCGCTGGCGATGGGCCCGATGAGAAGGTGAGACTGCACGGAGCTGCGCAACTGGGTCACAGAGCGGAAGTCAGGGAGACCTCGACATGAGACAAGTGACACGTAAACGGATGCAGGGACGACGGAATACTTAACCCCGAAAGTCTTCCCAAGAGATCTCTCTTGAATCTCCAATCCCGATTTGCACAGCCCGCTTAAACCCGGATTTTGACTCTAAACGCCAGTATAAAAGGCAGCCGACAGCAATTTCAGTCGCTTTTCGTTTCCCCTTCTGTTTTTGCTTCCGCGCCGAGTTGCATGCAGCCAGGTCGGCCGACTGGCCCACAATTGCCCAGCATCCGAGACTTGCACCCGTATTTGCCTCCGCCTTCAGGCATAATCCCTGCGAAGACTCCTCCGCTTGTCCCCCCGTCGACCTCTGCAGCACCGCCTCCGAATTTCGTTGGCCAGCAACGTCGACCATCATCTGATGCGGGGTCGCGCGACAACGAGCATGAAGACGACAATCACAAGCGACGAAAAGACGACGATCCCGATTCGGACAGCGAGCCGCCCCGGAAAAAGCGCAGGAGACAGGCTTTGAGCTGCACAGGTATGTGCTCAGACTCATTAACTTGGTGACCGTGACCTGACTCCGCTCATTAGAGTGTAAACGACGCAAAATCCGATGTGATAGGTGCGCGTTTTTGGCCGATTGTCGATGAACGAGATGTTGACCTCGCAACTGGAGTAGGGCGCAGCCGTGTGGACCGTGTGCGAGGAGGGGGGACGAGGCCAAGTGTCAGTGGCACGTTGTGGAGACAGCGTACGTGACCGTCTATTTTTTCTCTTTCCCCCCATCACCCATTCCACCTTCTTTTTGTTCTTCGTCGCGATTCCCATCCTGGCTCCTCAAATGGAACACCATGGTCCCACATGTTGCTGTGGACACCCGCCGAAAACACCGTCCCTCGTTATTTCTCAAGACCTGACAACATGATTCATCTGTCCTTTCCCGTCCTTCAAGACCTTCTTTCTTCGTAACGCCTATGCCAACTGTCGTTTGCGCTGCAAGCTCTCACAGCCTGTCGTCTCCTATTAACATCTTCGTCGCCACGCCACCATCTAACTTCTTCGCCACAATGCCTACAGACATCCTGTATCCTGTTCATATGTACCTATTGGCCTCGTTTCCAAGCCTCCCCTCATCTATCTTGTCTAAGCCGGCCTTCCTCGCCGTCTCCACACTGTCTTTCCGTAATAATTGGCGCTGAAACGTTCGGACAAGCAACCCACCATGCAGACTCCCTGTGCTCTTGTTGTGTTCTTGCCTCAAGTTCCCACTGAATCCCCGAAACTCCGTCCTCATAGCCTCGCTCTCTTCCCCCTTTCGTATACCTTTTAAATCTTCCTCTTATTATTTGTCACCCATTGCGAGCCAAACTAACTCATATTACAGATCTGAAAAGTATGTTCCTCGTGCAGAGCACGATGCCCTTCGACGACGAGTCGAGACGCTAGAGAATTACCTCAGGCGAATCCCCCCTCCAATCCTCGGTTCTCTCCCACCATTTCCTGGTCTTATGCCTCCGAATAGCGCGCCATTCTCGGGAAGCCCATTGCCACATATAGGCCTTCCACCACCGCCTGTACCCGGCCCTGTTCCGCCGTATGAAACTCCATATCATTACCCGCTCTATCCAGTCTCTGTTGCGGGTCGGTTCGACGCCTCCGCCTTTGGACCACCCCCACCGCCCTTTGTACATGGACACCCGGTCTATTCGCCGACACCCGAAATGACTACGATAACAACGGGTGGATTATCACCTGCGACGCTTGTTCCCCGTGCTAAGACAAGCTCGCCCAGCCACAGTCGTCGTCTGCCGCCGACGGAAACAGCATTCGGTTCTTCCTCCAACCAAGCGCAGCGGCCGCCTGTTCATCGTCGTCGTGCCAGTGCCTATGAGCATACCTATTCTGGGTATCCACCGCCTCCCCTGCGGCCGTTACTTCCTCGCCAACCCGAAACGACCGAAACTCCTGGCGTATCTAATGCATCTCAAGGCGCAAGTAATGCTCCGACCGAAAGTAGCGACCATTTTCGAGCAGAAGAAGACAGTGGAAGCGGGGGCGCAGCTCGTGATCTGGCACCGGTAGCAGGGGACACACACGATAATCAAGCAGTCACAAGCGACAACGGGAGAAATCAGGAAGACCAAAACAACTCAGGTCGTGTTGGTAGCATCAGCCATCTCCTGTTGGCCTCGCTCTCGACTTCACCGTTGTCGACGACCCCGATCCAGCCCGTTTGCGTTCTGCGAGTTGATGCTGTTGTCGCGGAGGAAGCGGACTCTGTATTCGATGGACTTATGCCCGCAGAGGCCTTGGTGGAGACGTCCAGTCCCGGCCTCGCGGTCGCGCCTATCCATGTGCCAACAGGCAGAGCCACCCCCATTCTCTCTGCGAAACGCAATGCTCTGAAGGCGTTTGAGGGAGCCACTGTGACCGTTGATGGAGCCTGTCGGGTCGTTGCTACTTGCAAGCCACCGTCCCAGACATCGTGCTCAAGCTCTCGTCGTGGCTGTGGTGTTACTCTCGCGCGCTCAAGGGTCGGACGCAGCACGACCACTCGGAAAAATTATCGATGTCAATTATGTCTCGGAACGCGTCGCTGCCCCCGCGCTCACCATCCATGAATTCCCCCCTTTTTTTTCTATCTTGTGCTACGTCTCCCCATCCAAATTGCCTCCAACTGTTTCGTTGTACCCCCCAGATTGTCACTGTCGTTAGCCTCATCCAGCTCTTGTCTTGTTTTCGACCTACGACCCTGCTTGTGTCTCCGTCTGCTATACTGTACACCCAGTACATACTTACTACTTTACCCCGTCGCCTGTGTTAATTGTCGCTGTCACTATACATCACACAGAAAATCCTACCATACCTTACGATCATGTATATACCGCTGTACATATTCCACCAGTCGGAAACATCGACTAAATATAGTGACTGACCTTCCATTCATTCGGAGATGGGCGGAGTTTGGATTCGTGGACGTGGTGCCGCGCCACTGTGCGGACTTAATGTCTCCGTTCTGCGAGACTCTCAGATTCATTAATTTTGTGCTGTCGAGACCATGCCTCTCTCAGTCCGGCAATGACCGGCCGCACACGATCCCTCCGAGTCAGGCTGAGGGGCATCTACTAAGTTACTGATAAGTTTGGTGTCGGTATGCCCCCCGACTTAGCTGACTCCTTTTGTCTCTGAATTCACGCAGACAGCTCAAGTTCTCCCGCGAGACGTCGCCTGCGAGTGCGGAGTTTGGCCCAGCACAATCACATTCCACAGACATCCCTAGTTGATTATCTCTCTCTCAGTCAGTGACATCCCGCGCTATTTCTGAGCCTTCTCACTGGCGTCATATGCTCTTCCAAGGAGCTTCGAGTTGAGAATTTCTCATATTGCCTTAGGCTAGCTCCCCAGACCGATTCGTTGCTTATTCCCAGCCCGTCGGAGCTGTATCGGCGCCGCATGCGATCCGAATCGAGGAAAAACGCGACAAATTATTGGACAAATTAAACAATTTGGCCCCGCGATGCCATAGCCGAAGAATGGATCGAAGCTTTAGAGATCGAAACAAAGTTCGTGCACCCACGCCTCCGGATGGCTGATGGACGTCTTTGAATTTCCTGGGAACAAGGACCTGCAACAGGAAGGTTTTCATTAAGACGCGGCTTGGCGCTGCGTGGGGCACTGCACCCGGACCTCCAGATAATAGACAACAAGTCGATTGGCTGCTGAAACCAGCACAGGACTAGTAAACACCAGTACCAGAATATAATCTATGACCAATAAGCAAGATATCCCGATTTCCGAGCTAGCGTTCTCGATCGAAGGGGCCCTCAAGCGAGAGGAATTCGGGCGGAGCCACAGGCTTGACGTATCGTTTCAAGCTGGCTCGCTAGCGATCGTTCAGTACACCACTTAGCCGGGCCCAAAGAGGCAATTAATATTGAATACTCACCCATCAGCGTAAATCGGGGGGCCATAATCTGCATGACCTGGACAAGGAACTTGAGCTGTTCGAGCAGGCCTTGGCCGCCTCCGTTGGAGCCCGAAGCGCGGACCGCAGCCAGCTCCGTAATAAACACACGAGCGGTGCGTGCGAGGATCGGCTGGTGACAGAGTCAGGAGTCAGCGGCCAGATCATATGTGAAGGACTGGGGAGAATGGGCCCACACACCGCAATGATGGGGTCGACAATGCCGCCCTTGACCTCCTCCGCGACAGCAGGGTCCATGAGGATGCCCACCACCTCTCTGGCTGCGGCAAGGACCTTCGCCCGGGAGTCTGGAGCGCCCACGGACAGGTGGAGGCGAATCGTCGCAAGCCGGGCGAGGAGATGCGTGATCAGTGTCGTCTTCGACTGAATGGCCGGCAGACCAGCTACGAAGCCCGCGACGCGTCTATCAAGGGCAGCGTCGACAGGGCTTCCTTTTAATTCCGCTCAGCTCATCGATTCCATATCTCCAGAAGACAGGACAGAAGCACTCACCTGGCCGGCCCATCGCTGCGGTGGCCAATAGTATCCCTGCTTTTGCGTGCAGCGCCGCAGGTGAGTCTGGGTGGTCCGGCAAGTCAGCCATGAACCGAGCCAGCGTTCCGCCCTGTGGGGCAGGAAGAAAGCAGGCTCGTCAGTATCACATCACTCCCGACGGGGAAAACACTTGCCTGGGCACGCAAATTGGAATCGTCTGCCGGCAGGCTGGTTTGGATGTCTAATCCCCCTGGCCCGACAATGACGTTCGGCGCCCAGTCGTGTATGCCCGCCCAGACCCCATCAATGGTCAGGACATTCCAGAACGCGGCGACTTGCTCTCTCCTCTCGCGCAGCTCATCCAGGTTCGAGGCTGGCTGGATTTGGTTCCACCGCCCGCTGAGAACGATGCCCACCGCGGCGCTGATGTGGTACCGACCCTCCACCATCCGCCCGTTGCGCAGGAAGTACGTCGCCAGCAGAACTTCCGCTTGTGCGCCATGGAGAAGGGTCCGTGGGTGGGTGCTCGTCAGCGAAGAAGCGGTGCTGTCCAATGCCCGCGCCAAAAGCGCCGGCTCGTATCGGGCAATACGGGCATCAGTCGAGAGGTGGATACCCCACAGATGCATCACGTTCAGAAGCACCGAGGGCAGATTCGACTGGAGCGTCTGGTTTTGGATGGCCTCGTGGAAGGCCTGCGTGTCAAGGAAAAAACCGAAGGACGACGCATTGTGTAGGAAGTTATGGGCCCTGGACAGCTATTCGTGAGCGCTCTTTTCGAAAATAGAGTTCAGTGATAGTTACAATGCTTGCAGGACAATCGGCGGAACCTCCTGTGATGGCAAATCAGTATATTGGCGCCTATCGGGTCTCATCATTTTGCTTACGGCGGCCATTGCGCTAGACGCGCTTACATTCGTTCCTGAAGTCTGCTGAGAGTCTAAAAACCAAAAGTGAGCCGATTCAATTATCATGGAATTTGATTGCATATGATACTGACGAAAGTAGGACAAGAGCGGTCCCAAAGGCATCTGACTTGGCGCCGCAGAGCTCGACGAAGGCATGCGCTGTTGAGGCTGGCGCGGGGTCGAAGGATTTTGAAGATCGTTGATGCGCTGTTGCAAGATTCTGATTTGCTCTAACATCGCGTTCAGGCAAGAGTCATTTTGAAGCGCCTTTCTACCTTCGAGAATTTGGCTGCTTGCTGGCCCTTCATCGTCGTATTCACAGTCTTCAGCGATCCCAGGATGTCGCGAACAAGGCCCGCATACCGGGCGAGCACTGTCACATTTCTGTGGCAGAAGCTTTAGCGACTCTTTAAACCTAATGGGAGGAAATTTCACCGTTTTTCGACGCCTGGTTTCAAGTTGCTAGTGAGTTATTATCTTGGAGACGAGTGCAATGAGACTCGCCTGCAGTTGAGACAGGCCTTTCCGCGCTGGAGCGGGATAGACGAGCTGCTTGGATGCATTAATATTCTGTTTACAACTTGTGAGTCGTGGATGTTCGTTTGCTGTTTTCTGAGGCTCCACAGACCTTTAAAATGCCCATTCGAAAGTATAGACTACCACAAATGGCTGGCGCCTGACAAAGGGAACTGCCCGGACACCGAAGAGCCATCCCTGACGCGCACGGGTCGATACGGCCTTTGCAAGCAAACAGAGTCAGACGCCGCGACGCGTATGCGTATGCCTCCGCAGTGACCGTAGGAACTCGAGCAGCGTCCTTTGTTTGAGGCGCAAGACGATCCATTGATAAGCCGAGGGTACTATATTGGCAGTCCTATGCACTCTGTTGACGTATACGAGCCCGGATCGACTGCCGGGTCGACGTAGCAAGGGGAGACAGGTAGGCTGAATGGGTGGAAGGAGTCATCCGAGGGCGTTCCCACGACTATGAGTCGTCGGTGAGTCTGCTCGAGGGCGTCGTCGATCCCGCGTCTGAGCCATGGGCTCGAGCAGCCACTTGTCGCTGCAGAAAATTGAAAAGTTTTCTGTTGCAGCCCTTGATGCATCGTCCAATGCGCGTGGCAAGCGACGGTGCGCCTCAGCTGGTATCGCGTGGCTATGTTGTGGTGGAGCTGAAGTGAGATGTAGCGTTGGGTCCAGGTCGCGTTCGTCGGTGTTTAGCGGGCGGATGACAGAGCTGTCGAGCACGTGGAGGCGGTGCGCTTACATAGGCGGCCCGGGCCGGCAATGGCCACACCCGGAGGACGTGGACGGCCTTACAAACGCGGCGAATGCGTTACTGGATCGGCGCACACTTAGACTCGGCGCAGCTCCGTGGCCAGCGATCCCAGAGGAGCGGTTACTCGGAGTTTCTGAACCCCGAGTTGGTCCGTTCCGCGCAAAGGTTGGAGCAAAATGGACGGGAGTATATGGTGGGATGCCGAGTGGGGATATTTTACTGAGGACGGAAGCTGGTAGATGGCACTGCGGGAGTTCAGGAATAAACGGCGCCTGTTTCGATCGATTATACACCTAATATCAATGTATCAAAAAAATATTTTTTTTCACCTCTATTTGTGCCAAAAAAAATGCACTGGATATGCCCTTATATAACATATATCAGGGCCCTGGATCATATAAGTGAATCTTTTTTGGTAAGTACATTGATTTTAGCCATATAATTGATCGAAACGGGGGCTGTTTATTCCCGAACTCCTGCAGTGTGGTGTTATGAGTTTGGGGATGACATCAGCGGGCGCTTTTTTTTGTTCTCATGCCATCATGTCGACGCCGGGCGCTAGGCGAAAGCTGTTACTTCTTGCACTTTACGACCGACGAGGACGACGATGGCGACGGCGGAGGGATGTCCGCTGCCCATGAACTCTGATATAAGCGGGATTGGTGTGCGAGTGAGTCTCCGCGCTGCGCTCTCATTCCGGTTTTCATCGGTTACAGGTGTCGTTTTATCTGCAGACACTCTTTCTCAGTGTGTATCTGCTTGTTGTTTGATGAAACGCTATGCTGACTGGCTGCCTTTCAGGCTGCCTCTCTGCAAGATCTGGCTCGCTAGAGGAAATTACCGGCGCACTTTATACGCTGCTCTTCACGAACACCGCGATGGCGGTGACTGCGCTTATTTTGGGTTTTAAGCCGGTCCCAGAGATTAGCCTCCAAGAGTGCGGTCCACAGCTCCTATATAAAGTCTTCTCACCAGCAGCAACAGCGCAATCGTGGTCTTTTACCTCTTACTGCTATCATGGACGACCGTAACCCTTACGCTCCCCGCCTGCTCACGCTTCCCTCTCTCCCTCTCTTCTTCCCCGGCCCGCTCAGCACGCTCGCTGACTCTCCTCCACACGCTCTCCGTTCTACAATCCTACACCATCTTCGCCTTCCTTCTCGCTCTGACCATCTCCGCCCCAACCTTCGGCTCCCCTACCACCGTCCAATGCAACCCCCAAGCCCGGGCTGTCCTCTTCCGCCCCTTCTCTGCCCTCGGCGCTGGCAGAGTATTAGGCGCCGTTGCAACGGGTGTCGTTGTCGTCGTTTACACCGGGGTATTAGTCAGAGACCATCTCCCGCCCGCGCCTGACGCCGTCCGTCGTTGGATGCGCCGCACTGTCCTTCGCCGTGTGCCCAACGTAGAGCGCAAGGCTGCGGAGAAGCCCGGCCCGCAGCCCGGCCCCGCGCACGCTAATCCACCCCGGTCTGTCCCCCCAGGACTGGAAACATTTGGCCCCGGTGCCCTCCCCCGCGGACCGCGCCGTGTCCCCGGGCGCAACCGGTATCGTGGACGGACCGCGGCAAGCGACACGCAGCGGCCTTCATACGACCTGCAGATCGCGTGGCCGCTCGTGATTCACTTGTTCGTCGTGTGTGTGCTGTGGACATTGGCAGTGATGAACACAGAGCTGCTCATCCGCTGGAATACCAACACCGACGCGAATGTCGATGCAGATGGAGGCTCGGGGTGGGGGTTTGGCCAGATACTGCCCATGTTTCTGGTGCTCCTCCCGCTCGCCAACGTTATCAATGCTTTCCGCGAGTTTGGCCTGCGGCCGCTGCCTATGTGGCTGCTTGTCGGACCCGCGAATGCGAATCCGGAGGATGGAGGGTTGCCGGAGGGGAAGGTGTAAGCTATCGATCTTTTATTACTGCCGTTTGCGGTCACGGTACTAAGATTAATTATAAGGCTGTGTGCTTTGTCCGAGTCGTGTCCACTAACTTCAGATCTAGCAAAGTTAGTGGACATAGACACAGTCAGATAATACATGAATATTAATAACTATGACTACTTCAGATGGATACATAGAGATATACAGACTCTATCATCAGTCTCTATGTTACTGTATATGCATAGGAGTCTATTCAAAGATTCATTACCTAGGAAGGTTAGTGGACATAGAGATAGTCTGTTAAGTGCCATGCCGACCAGAGGACCAGAGTTGGAGTTGGAGTCGGAAACAGAATCAAAGTTGGAGAGCACTTGGGGGGGCACCGGAACACCACAGAAGGAAGTTTGGGTGACTGGCGACTGCAGCTTCCAGTTGACCAAGACAAGACAGGAGAGAAGAGTGGAGTCAAGATGACACTGGGGAATAGAGACCAGCAATGTTAATTTACAAACTGAAGTACGTAGTAATACATCAAAGTATTTGTCAGGCTTTGGGTCAGGCCGTGCAAGGCTCCTCCTATGAACACGCACCCGGAACAGAACAAGGTTTGTCGTTGTCTCGCTCAAAGCTACGAGCTGAAGTAGAGTACAGGCCCAAGAGAAGTGGCTCTTCGAGCGACCGGAGCTCCGCCCATTGATCCTCCAGCCTGAGCAATGGGAGTTGCTCCGATCACTCAATGGGGTTCTCGAGGTACATTTGCTTCCCTCTCGCAGCGCTGCAATTGAATCCATCTGTCTATAGGTGTTCACAGAGGTTACACTCCAGATGTCAAAATCATCGACCCCAACGCTTCCGTGGGTGTTGCCCATGTACTAGTATGAGCTTATGCTGGCGCATCTAAAGGCATGTCGCGATGACTTGAATCTGCCATTTGAGCTTCGCACAGCTGCGACAGCCGGTTTGCTCAAGCTGGAACAGTATCACAAGCTTGCGCAAAAATCACAGTTCAATATCATTTCAACTGGTGAGTCTACTTGCTTACTGCAGCGGACAGTTGACGATGACAACACCTCCAGTTTTGCATCCGGCGCTTGGATGGGCCTGGTTTGCCAAACAAGACCGCTTAGCTTCAACAGAAGTGCTGCCATCAGAAGATACCTCTGCTGCAACCACTTCCATGGCGGCGTCGACTGACCCGGAACCAGCTGCAATGACACCAGTGGCGGCGGTAGGAGCCAGTCCAATGGGTGAGCGCGAAACAAAGGCTCGTGTCCTGTTTCAACATGTCTACGAATCATACAAGGCAGCCTACGACACAGAGCAGAATGGAACTGCAGCACCAGCAATACCTTCAGCACTGACGAAGCAACCCTCCTCTTCCTCCATTCTCGACGGTATATGCACCTTTGACGATGTCGATATCACGCCGCCAGTGGAGACTAAGAGCTCGTTCGGGAACGAGAATCCGCTGCGATTCTCGCGAGAATCTGGATTCTCGTCACTAGATTGTAACGCATGTCACTTATAGTCACAAATCATTACATCACCTGTCCTCCGTCGATGGGCCGGAAGAAAAAAGAGACTGGCGCCGTGGAAGACACCGACAGCAAGCAGAAGACATGCCTGTACACTGATGCCGACCTTGTGAGAATGATGGAGGAGATCATCAGCCGGAAGTCAGAGCTTGGGGAGCCTGTGGGGCTGCGGAAGGCCACTGCAAATGCCGTTGCTCTTGCTCTTAATCCACCAACTGAAGGCCTGCCGAAGAATGGTCCATCGGTCAAGAACCAGTTTGGGAAGGTGTGTCAGCCATGCTTCTGGCTTTCCTTTCTGACTGTCTGCGCTTCAGCAAAAGACTCTCTGGCAAGAAGTTGTCAAAATCTGCGCTAACTCGGGCTTTGGTGCATGGGACATGGAGCATGGTGCCAATATAACACCGGATAAGGCCACTGTTTGGGCAGAATGGGTCCGACACAATCCCAAATCAAAGCCCTTCCGCAACAATGGCTTTCTTCTGTATCGACAATTCGATGAATTGATGCCCATGAACACGGTGGTTCCTCGTGGCCAGAGCGTTTATCGTGCTTCGGAAGGAGGTGCTGAGGCCATTGTGGATGAAGGTCTGGAACTCTTCTCTCTTCTTTTGTTTTTTTATTGATTTTGCTCTACAGACAGTACCTCCGAAGACTCAGATGCGCAACCGAACAGCCCACTATGGGATATCGAGCAAGGCCAAGAACTACCTGATGACGACCATCCTTCCTCTCAACCACAGTCCTCATCACAGTCATCTATTGGACCAGCAACCACTCCTGCTAGTCGCAAACGTGCCCCGACTGAAACGCCATTACCATCGTCTCGTGTTCAGAAGTTCCGGGCTACTGGTCCTGTTCATACCCCTGCTGCATCCTCGTCGCGTCGAAATCAAAAAGCCGATGAGCGTTTTCAGCAGATAGATGCGCATTTCAAGGAAACATCATCTCTGCTCAAAGCGGCTCTTGAACCACCTCCACCGCCTCCACCGCCCCCGCCTGATACCCCTGCTCGACTAAGCGAGGCTGTGCGATACGTACGCAAGGTGGAGCGTGTCTGGCTTCCCTCCCGCCTTGCTCTGGCATTTACAAATCTGCTGCAGAAGGATCGGGACCTGGTTGCGGTATATATGGGCCTATGGGATGATGACGAGGATGTTGTTTATCGTCGTGAATGGGTTTTGGGTAAGTTGGATATGCTTGATTGTCTTCCTCCTGGCTATGACCTATCTCTTGATGCTATTGTTCCTTTGGATATGCTTTCCTCTCAAGCTCCACCTCCATTCAATCCACCTGATTTTCCTGATCTATCTTCTTTTCCGTATAACCCTTCTTTGTTTGATAATTCTACGGGCACTTTATGGTAACTAGTTAGTTGTTTAGGTAGCTCTGGTATTGGATCCACATTGCTTCTGCAATTGCATTTCGTCGAGCCTCCGCCTCTGCCTGCTCAGCTTGAGGAACAGCCATTTGATTGCTGAGCTCATCGGGAGCTGATTCGTTTCGTGGTGTTGGGTCCCAAATATCTTCATCCTCATTATATAGAACATCTGTAGCCTCCACAGGATCATAACGGAGAATAAGATTGTGAATGGCAATCAAAGCAGATGGAACTCGAGCCTGGATGGTCATGTTATACTTGAGTGGTGTGCATAAACAGGCCCATCTCTTCTTGAGAACTCCAAATATACGTTCGATCACATTCCGTGCTTGAGCATGCCGCAGGTTGAATAACTCCTGTGCATTTACAGGTCTAAGATAAAATATTAGATTTGTAATATCATGATTTGATGACACTCACGCCCGGTCTGCAATTCCCCATTCCCTCAGATGATAACGGATACCCCGATAAGGTACAAGAAGTGCACGGCAGTTTGGAAACCCTGCATCAGCAAGAAAGAATTTGTTGAACGGGATTCTGAAGTCTGCCATTCTTGATTGTGCAAACATTGTTGCATCGGCTGCTGAGCCATCATATCCAGTAACTGCATATTGGAACCGCATATCAAAGGAGCAGCAGCAAAGGATGTTTTTGAGACTTGGCCCTTTCGATCACGATGGTATTGGCGTTCCTCTTTGGATGGCCAGGATGGAATATGGCTGCCATCAATGGCACCTAGAGCATCTTTGAAAAAGGGCATGAAAATGGGATTATTGGCAAAGTGCTGGGGTTGGGGTGTGGTGGCGGTGGGTAAATGGACATAGCGGTTATAGAAGTTGGGACCAGAGAACGCATCCAACATTTCTTTGAAGTAACTAGAAAATATTATATAAATTAGTTCAACAGATTCAGAGAATAAAATAAACTCACATGCTAATAGTCTCATTTGAGTGTTGAAAACGTTCCCCCACATGACGGATAGAAAGACCAGTTACGCAAGTATAGAGAAAGATAGCCAATTTTTCTTCCAATGAGATATGCCGTGACTCAGTATAGCCCATCCAGCGAAGCTCGGAAATGAGTATGTTGAAAATATGCCGACGTACACCCAATTCACAAAGAATCCGGTCTGGGTGCTGGCTATGATACAGTTCATCAACCCAGGCTTGACCAGATAGTGCAGAGGTATGATAAGGTACAGGTACAGCCCGAGCCATGCTAGCATCATACAGCATAGACATATACGCCAGTAGCTGCAGTAGATGGGCAGCCAGGAGGGCAGCCAGTGTCCGTGTACGACGAGCATCAGGGAGTCGAGGAAGCATTGGTGGCGGTCACATCATATCACATGATGATGCCTGTGACTTGGACAAGCACTTGATTTTTCTCTCTCAGTGAGCTCCATAATAGCCAAAGTACATGTGTGTTGCCCTTGGACACCCTCTAAGATAACAAAGCAGTAAAGAGTACAGAAGATGAACTGAATAATAATGCCATCAACCATTCCGGCGGGTGTGAGACAATGCTAACTCAAAAAGGAAGTCACGCCGGACCTGACGAGAATCCAGATTCTCGCGAGAATCGCAGCGGATTCTCGTTCCCGAACGAGCTCTAACACAGAGCTTCAACGCTTCTTCATCGCCTATCGGCTTTATGGACGTGGGGACCGAGATAAGCCGCTGGATTGGTGGAAGGCATGTTTTTGTTCACGCCATCTCTATTCACTTTCTTACTCCAAGTTGCAATAGGAATTCGGACATCTTTTCCCTGTGATCTCGCGTATGGCGCGAGATTATCTGGCAATCCCCGGAACCAGCGTCTCTGTCGAGCGCTTATTCTCCAAGTCCCGACATCTCTGCGCTGACACGCGTGCATCAATGAAGGCGGAGACTATTATGGAAGCAATGCTGACAAAGATGTGGATCAAGGCTGGTCTTTTCCCAACACCATAACTAGTCTAAAAATTACTGTTTACAAATATTTTTAAACATTTATATCCATTTATATTTGTGTTTCTATTTTATTTGAAAATTTGACAAATAGAAATAAAATAGTTGGAGCCCTAGGATCGTTGAGCCCGCAAGCAAAGCGAGCAGGGTAGCACTGAACCAAAAGGGCCTGTTTGCTTGGTCCCTTTGTCATGGTCAGTTCTCAAAGGTTCGAATCAGGTCATTTTGGGCCTGATGAGTCGGTGATACCTCCTTACACGGAGAGAAGCAGTACTTTAGACGATCTAAGCGATAGAGTACATGGTATACTATCGCGCTTTATATATACGGGCCCGCAAAGGGGTGATCGGACACCCTGGCCTCCACTGCTCCTCCTTGCCCCCATTCCTGGCCGCAGATGGGACAATCGTACATCCCTTACAGGCCAGGCACTACTTCTAACCTCCTAGCACTCCTCCCCAATCCCCTAGTGTCGAGTTGGGCTTGGCAACAGCTTGACATGTCGTTCTTGGTCATATGCTTTCCACGTGTGCATTCCTCCTACTGGGGCGCCTGTTCCCCATCGTCACGTGCTGCATATTGCAGGCCCGGAATGGCCTGACACCAGCACCGGAGCGGACGGGCCGGGTCTTATCTGTGACAGTATGAGAAGTAACGGAAATGGAATAAGTGATAACAAAGTAAGTAACAAGATTAGAACAAAGTCAAGGAGAGTAGAAGAGGACTTGCATACGAGGAACAAGGCATAGATGATTGCATAGATCATAAGTTGGCATAATTGGAAACACTCAGTAAATCTTCATTGCGTAAAAACCAAATACCAGAATCATATTTTGGAATCGAACCGGAGTCAGCATGGATATAACTGTTGAAATATCGGTTGATCCGAGGAAGGATGGGATCAAAGTAGCCAAATTCAGTTTGCAATCACACTCCAATGAAGGATCTGTGCGTTAGGGCAAACGATGCCCTACGCTAACTATCTATTCAATAACATAGTAAGATGATACATGGATATTGATAACTGTGCCTACTTCAGATGGATGCATAAGATTATACAGACTCGAGCTATATCAGTATATATATATATATAGGAGATTCATTATGATAATATCCTTTAACTTTGGAATCTAATCCCCAAAATTGGTATGGTTAACCACATGTGTAAGGGCAATCCCAGGAGGATCAGAAGCAGAGTCCTAGCAGGGGAGGATCCAAACAGAAGAAACTCTAAGGCACCACCTGCTAAGTAGCTGAACTATATACTGCGCTCTTGATGTGCCAAGTGTGATTGTTGCTTCAAGCAGTATGCCTGCACCATATCGCAAGCCAGGTCCAGGGCGGGACGATGTTTCACCAGAGATCTCTGGGGAACCAAAAGGGGGAGGTTTCACTGACATACTCAGGTATGGGGGGGGTTGAACCAGCTTTCCCACACTTGTCAGACCTGGCAGGAGACCATGCCATGGGCCCAGGCCGGCCCTGTTCCTGACAAATTATAAGTCAGGATAATCGGAAACACTTAGCAAATCTTCATTGTCTAAAAACCAAGTACTAGAGACAGACTGAGTCCAGAAATAAAGATGGGCTTTGGTGCCTGAGTTAGTACAGATATAATATGAAATCAACATAGATAGTATATCTATGTAGGGAGGGGTGTGCTAATTATGACTATTGAGATGGCTGGGATCCATAATACCAGTCAAATTGCAGTTGTTATGGCCATTAGTTCACCCACTACTATTTTCCAGTCAATAGGCTAAGTAAACTGTTAACAGCTTTTGTATTGGTCAAGTGACTACCGGTTGGTATTAACTTACCTTTTGTCATTCAGCAAAGTTACCTTGCATATAAGGATAGAAGTGGTGACTGATCATAACATATATCATCTCACTCAAATAAATAAATAAAAAAAGAATGATAAAAACCTTACAGATCACATAGTTAATCATCTAAATAACTATATTGAGCCGATTTTATAGTATAGTCTCAAGGGCTCTTTGCCTTATGTTAAAAGCCTCACTCTATATAGGTAGGGTCTTTATGCTAGGTTAAGGTATCAGTAACTTAGAGTATTAAACAATGAGGTCTTAACTACCTGGTAGTGGGATAGAGCTATAGCATTTAGTCCAGTTATCTCCATGCATGAAATTCTTGTAGGAGAAGTTGACTTTGTGATGACTAATGACCTTGGTATTCAGTGGCATATAAAACCCTGGTCGAAAATCTGGAGGAAGCCAAAAGAGAAGATCTTCCTCTTCAGATAGGACCCAGCCATCATCACTAAGTTTCCAAAATGGTGATAAGGTAGGCAGTGTAAAGCTCTAAACATATATGAGTCAAGATAATATAGCTAATAAAATTAACTGACATTAGATGTAGGCAGCATAGTATAAGAGGAGGATAAGGAATGAAAAGCATGTATATTCCATACTCTTATAGTTTGGTCCTGAGAACTAGAAACAATAAAGTTTCCATCAGGAGAAAATGCAACAGAGAGAACTGCATCAGTGTGACCTTCTAGAGGTTGTTTCACAGGTTTGCCTGTTGCTGCATTCCATATCCGGATTGTACAATCAAATGAGCCAGATACAATATACTGGCCATCTGGTGAAAAGGCTACTGACCGGACAGAGTCAGTGTGTCCTGTAAGACAATGATGTTTCAGATGATCTGTTGTATTCCAGATATCCACATGGCCATCAGAAGACCCAGAGGCAATATACTGATTATCTGGTGAGAATGACACTGAGCAGACAATTCTAAAATGTCCTTCAAAAGGATGATGCCTCACAATATCTCCATTCATAGCATCCCATATATGAACATTTTGACCATAGGAGCCAGAAACAATATATCGGCCATCTGAAGAAAATGCAAGAGAGTAAAATAGGTTGCCATAATGCTCAGTAGAACACCAAACAAGTGCTTGTGTATGTGCATTCCATACAGATATAGTGTTTGAAGCCGAAGCAATATATTGGCCATCTGTTGAGAATACTACAGAGAAAACTGGAGAACTATGCTTAAGAGATCCAATGCAGTCTCCAGTACGTGCATTATATATTTGCACAGTCTTATCAAGGGATCCAGAAATAATATTCTGACTATCTGAAGAGAATCCAACAGAGCGAACTGCATCAGTATGTCCTTTAAGACTATAGCTGAGATTATCTTCAGCAAATGTATTCTGTATATGTATTGTCTTATCATTAGAGGCAGAAGCGATATATTGACCATTGGGTGAGAATACAACAGTGTTGACTGAGCCAGAGTGTTGTTCAGGACAAGTCCTACCACTATCTCTGTGTACAGACATTCTAGCAGATGTTAAGATATTACTATTATGACCTTTGGCTAAGGAAATTGTGTTGACTAGATCATAATATTTGGAGATATTCCATATTCGTACTGTGTTGTCATCAGATCCTGAAATAATATAGTGGCCATCTGGTGAAAAGGCAACTGAGCCAACATCAGCAGTGTGTCCCAAAAGTGGATATCCAATATGAGCTCCAGTCATTAGGCTCCATATATGTATAGTCTGGTCCTGAGATCCAGACACAACAAATTGGCTATCTGGTGAAACTGCGACCGAAAGAACTGGAGCAGTATGTCCTTTGAGAGAATGTCGAACATGATCTCCTGTAAATGTTTTCCAGATACAAAGAGTTTTGTCTGCAGATCCAGACACAATATACTGCCCATCCTGTGAGAATGCTATAGACAGAATCATCTTAGTATGTCCTTGAAGTGAACAGCCAATAGGATTTCCAGTAAATGCATTCCATATTCTGAGTGTTGCATCTTCAGAGCCTGAGACAATATGTTGGCTGTCTGAGGAGAATGCAAGAGAGGTAATTCTGCCTGTATGCCCCTCAAAAGGCTGCTCAATCGGCTCTCCAGTATGTATATTCCATATCTGTATCCTCCAGCCACCATACAGAGCAATAAGCTGACTATCTGGTGAGAAAATAATATGTTCATTATCAATGTCTGCTGGAACAGATTGCATGATTAGATCTCCAGTAAGTGCATGCCATATTTGCAATATATTATGTGTAAGAGATCCAATGTATTGTCCATTTGGTGAGAGTGCAGGTCTGTGAAGAATTCTTAGAGCCTCACTCACCCCCAGGTTACTTGCTGGCCAATGCCCAAGCTGATCTCCTGTTATAGCATCCCAGCAGTATATAGAGTATACATCACAGATGATAATAGATTGTCCATCAGATGAAAATGTTGCTGTGCGAACTGGGGAATCCTGATGGAAAGCTTTTACAAGTTGTGGCCAGTCTTTCCAAGCTCCCTGATTGACCTTGAGTGTCTGATTCAAACCCCTTTCTTTTAATTGCAAAGTTAGCATCTGGGAGTTCTGAGGTATCAAATTTAATGCAGACACATATAAATGTGCTGTACTATGCTGTATACATCCCCCAAAAACTTGAAGGAAACTAGCAAGCTCTTGAAACATAGCTTTGTGCTTTTCATTCTGTATTTTGTAAGAAATAGTTTATATATAGGTGTCTCTCTTACCTGGATCCATTGTGATATTGTCTTCACCTGCTGCATTACCACTGCCACCCCACCTAACAAGGCAATCACTTCTAGCCAAAACCATACATTGGTCATCAGAAGATTCTGAATATCAGAAAGGTTCTGAGTATGTGGGGTGATATGCCTGATCCAGTGCAAGACACAGTATCTGAGGTGTGGTGGAATATATTTCATAATATCCAAATTTTGCTCTTCATTTGACTTGTATGATGTTTTAATATCACAAATATTGAACCTAAGTTCATTTAATTGAACCTGGATAATTCTCTTAATAACAAATATTTGTGCCTTTTCAGAGCTACAGCTGAAGTCGGGATTATCTATGCCTTGGGGAGGTTGATGTGCAAATTCCTTGAATGACAAATGATATAGTTGAACAAGACTGGTTGTGTCATCTAGATCTGGAACAAATATCACTGCACTTAACCTCATGAGATACTTATGAACCTTCTCCTTGTTTATGTCTAGTAATTTGGCCAGATTATCCAAACTAAGTGGCTCAAAAAGATTGAGCACAGTATAAAGTATACTGAGTTGTCTTTCATATTGATCCTTTCTCCACTGTTCTGAATTTGCCTTTGGCTTCTGGATGACAGATGATATAACATTCAAGTAGAGTGCATTAAGATCTTGATATCCAGTTTGCATATTCAGCAGATATTCTGCTTGTTCATCCCAGCTGTTCTGGCTATCAGATGTGCTGATATATCTAACAGAAGTGGCTGCATATATAAACAGTCCAGCAGCATGATGGGAGATGTAACTGATAGTAGAAGCTGCCTTTGACTTGTCATACCAATTTGTTGATGTAAGAGGAAGCAAGTGGTGAAGATATTTGTCAATATCTGCTCTAACAATATGCTGCTCAAGATGGTCCAGCTTTATTTCAAAAGCAGATACCTTGAGAGGACCAGTCATAACTGTTGCTGGAACTTGTGGTCTCCCAGTAAGGAAAAAACGAATAAAGAAAGGAATTTTATCTCTGGCAGTTGTCAGCCATGATACAACTATCTGGCCCTGATCCTGCCCACACTCATCAAGAGCATCTAGACAAATGATCCAAAATGATTGAGAGGAGGGGACTTGTAACTGGTTTAAAAGAGCTACGACAAGCTTATCAAACTGGTTCTTGGGATCTTCATTCAGGACCTGGAATTGACTGTCCTCGAGAAATTTTCCTAATAGCCTTTTGAATGTGGAACTATATGCTGCAAGTTGATAGGCAAGAGCAATAGGTAAGCCTCTATGGTCATTACGTCCAGCAAAGCGGTATGAGAAAAAGAAAGAGGCAGCAAGAGAATGCTCCTCCGCCAGCTTCGTAGCTACTGTCTTTGCAATTGTAGACTTCCCAGACCCTGCAGAGCCAGTGAGCAGGATAATCTGCTGTGGATATTGATTCCCAGTTAATCTATCAATGATCTCTTGGGTAACTTTCACCCTGGTATCTTCCAAGCAGCAGTTGGGTGTATTTTCAGCATTGTATTGAGCTGCAATATATTTTGCCTCTAGCTTGCTGAGAGCTTTATTCATCTTATCTTTTGAAGGTCAATCTATGAATTTTGTGCATGTAACTCTTACCCTCAGTATAGAACTGTTGTGTGAGAATAAACAATGCTATCTGCATTTCTGTCTTGAAGAAAGCTTAGTTTACAATGTTTCAAGTTACTCGTGGAATTGTTTAAGACTGACCATAAACTTTTGGAGGTATGCATTTAATTTTGTCTTGATATCACTGATGTCTGCTTTGATGGATGGGCTCTTCCAGAAGTTTCTCTTCTTCTTTGAGCTCTGTAGAAGGTCTTCACATTGAATAATATATGGCTCTAGCTTGCTGTAAAATATGATTAATACACTAAGTTGCAACAACACATTCAAAATACCTCTTCAATACAGAGAATAGATGCTGAACTTTTGGAGTATCAGCTAATTTTTCCATCTGCATTTCACAGATTTCCTTTAGCTGGTCGATAAGGCCTGGCAGCTCCGTCTTGTTGTACTGTGCAGTCTGTATGACGAGACCCTGAATGGATATTGTGAAAGAAGTGGTGGCAAACTCACCGAGACCATCTCAAGAAGTCCCTTCATCACATTCAGACAGCTAGAAATTGCTCCTCCTGCAACTGGAATACTAGTTGTGAGCTGGGCCGCCAGCCCAATGGCATCGGTGGCCCGAGCAGAGTTGGTTTGGGCATGCAAGGTAGGGGTGGAGGTCATGGTGGTACGAGAGAGAGACCAGAGCTGTGGAACGTCGAGCATGGCGATGCCATGATGTGATTCGAATTCCACATGACCCTTCCTCAGTGTGGCGCCGTTCATGATTCGCTGTGAACTCAATGATGGCTGTGAATAGAATATGCCCCGTTTATATTCATACCCGCGCCGGAACCTCGAATCACATGAGAATCAAGATATCCCGACATAAGTATGTATACCACGAATCCACCCACCCCGTTCAATCGCGCACCCCTTCTCTCCTCCTGGAATCCATTTGTTCGATGGAATCCAGCCCCCCACAAACCGGTTTCCGGTGCGAGGCCCATGTCCCTGAATCTCAAGCTACGCGCTGCTTGGAGGACGAAGGAGGCAGGAGAGCTACAGGCCATTTTCAATCTGTACTCGAGTAAGCAAATGTCCAATACTAAAAAGATGTTCGCAGTGCTGGAAAGAGTCGGAAAACGAGGTGCGGCGGGGAGCAACAGAGCTCAGGCTCCTGCGCCTTATGTGTAGGGCCTCCGCATTCTTGCCAGTAGATGATCATATGGAATCAGGGATGAGGACGCAAACGTGACGTCACAATACCCGAGTTTTTCGCGCGCCACGTCCACCGCCTCATAATTCACATATATATCGCCTCTAACAGGGCCGCCTCACTCGAAGACGCATGGGCTGTGTACCGGTGTGACCCGGGTTGCGGGGGTCCCGCCCAGACCGCCCCTGGCTCGGGTGCTGGGCACTGCTGGCGGGGATGCGCCTCGAGCGGGTGGCGCTCTTCAAGTTCCTTTCGCATGTCTTTCCGGGGTCGGTGGGGCTTGCCAATGCGCAGTGCTTTCAGACGCTGCCACATCTCTACTTATACGACAACTTGTGGGACAACGAGGTGGCGCGGCAAAGCTTGCGCGACTGCCGGTCCTCACGCATCTCGCGCTCAACGCCACGGTCGACTGGGTTGTAACGGAGAATCTTCTGCAGAATTGCGAAAGCTTGCGGGTACTTGTGGTGCTGACGTCAGTGTCTGCGTCCGAGGCGGAAGGAGAGACACGCGCCAAGGAGGTGCCCTTCCGCGACGACCGCTTCCTCATGTCCAAATACTGGAATATGACCGCGGGCGTGCGGGATCCACCGAGTCTCAGGCTGTGGTCGCACGCGGAGGAGTTTATCCAGAGGAAACGCGAAAAGCGGCTGGACGGTGAGTGCTGGCGAATCTTGTTGCTTTTCCTTGCTGATACCATGAACAGCGGCGTTGTTTTGGATGAGCACTTGACTGAGGTACTACGGCATATCCCTGACTACGTAATCCCGAAAGCACATCCTTCTCCCGGCCTGCTTTGTCCACCCGCTTCGCTTTGGCCTCGGCAAACTTGAATGCAATGACCTTCCGTGATCGGCCAAGGCTCCTGCGACTATGACTGCGGGCGTTAGGTCGACCCGCCGAGTTTGTGCTTGCAGGCCCGGGGGGAGGGTTTACCGTTTCATAGAGAACGAAAAACACGAAAAGCGGTTAGACGGTGAATATCGGGTGACTTTTGCCTCTCTTTATTGCTGATTCGATGAACAGCGAGTTCTTTTGGATGGCGGCATGGCCTCTCACTTTCTCGCGGCTCGCTTGGGCCTGAGCTGCGATGACGATCGTGCGTATCCCACCGTCGAGCGCAAAGCGTCCAAAGCGCCCTCGCACTCAGTATATAAGCTGCACCCACATTCTCGTTGCTGCCCCAACCCACTACTCAATCTCCTGCATACCATGACCACCTCTGACATCCGCAACACACACACTGGCATCACCCCGACGCGGGAAGAAGTCTGCTTCCTTCCGCAGCTGGTTCAGCTCGACTTCTGGCTCGACTCCCTACACGTTGTGCTGCCAGCAGCCTCCAAGATACCCAACTACCAAGGCGCATTCTATCTCGACCCGGCGGGCAGGGCTGATCTGCTCGAGCGCGGTCCGTTTCCTTCGATTTCGTCTTCAAGTCACTTTGCTCACAACCAGCAGTCGTGGCCCACATCCGGCGCATCACACGTGCCTACAACAGGGCCAACGGCCACCGCGACGCCCCGATCCTCACCGACGCCGAGTCGGTCTTCGTCAAGTTCTCCCAGCCGTCCGCGCAATTCGGCCACATCTTCGCGGAGCTGGGCCAGCTCATCGGCGTCGCCCCACGCAACTCCGTGCAGGACATCTACGCCGCCGGTGGGTCCGATTACTAATATTCCCGGCTCGGAGTCTGTCCCCTGATCAGCCCCTCCCCAGCGCACCGGTACATCGTCTGCGGCATGCGCGCGCTGGAGTGGCCGCTCCCCGCGGCGCTCTACCCCGCGCCCAGCCACAACCACGCCGAGTACGCCGCCCGCGCCGCCGCGGTCCCCGCGGTCTGCACGTCCGCCGTCTGCCACATCCACGCGCACCCCGCGCGCGCCGCCGGCCCGCAACCGCCTCGCCGGCCCGCGCCGCCGCCGACGGGCTACTCGCTGCGCTACCGCGGCGAGGAGGTCCGGCTGCCGTTCCCCAACGCGCCGCCGCCGCCGCCGGCCCAGGACCGCCTCCCGGGCATCCAGCATATGGACTATTTTTCGGAGATGGGCCGGTTTGACCGGAGAATGAACGCGTCGAGGCAGGGGGAGGGGCAGGGGCAGGGAAGTGGTTGTGCCAGGCAGTGAATGATTCAGGTCTTCTTCTCTCCATGTTTAGCATACTCAATAAATTTATGTATGCTCATGTCAATGTCAACTGCATCAATGCGAAGCTTAAGCTGAGCAATGGACCTCAAGCCCTTCAAACTGCAATGGACTCGGGAACAAATGCCACCATTCCCGGATTAGGCACCTGATTTCTGACACTTACCCGAGCCAAGTTCACATTTGAATATTTGTTCCCATTGATAGACACTGATACGGATTGAGTAGAAAATTCCTATATTTACAACATCAGTAAAACTACAGGTTAGTCTTGACGATCTTTGCGGAAACTTGAAGCTGGATTACGAGTTGAATGCTACAATACTTACGTCTCGTTCAGGTTGTGCACTCCAAATTCCGTATCCGTAAATATAAGTATTCAAACTCCGCGCGTTGCTGGCGACATCCACAGCTACGCATCCTGCAAGGACAGCCCGGCGACTGGTATCGAGTTCCCCTCAGTTTCCGCACTTGATTCAGGAGCGTCGTCATCGTTCTTTGGCCAGTCTGCGCGCTGCATCCAGAAACAAGTCTCTGTATGACGCTGGCAGTCAGTCTTCATGGTTCAAGGGTGGAATGATCCCTCACCGTCAATCCGGCCCTGCCGCTTGTTCTCGATGAACTCCTCTGCGAGCGTCCACAGGTTCGGCGCGTCCCACGCTGCCTCCTCCATGTCGTCGAACATCGTCATCACGAACCTTGCGTCGCGGATCGGCGTCTCCGCCGCGCGCTTGATGCCCGTCTCGACCCCGTCCGCCCACTGCAGCACCAGCACACGCAGAGTGGCACACGTCTGCAAGAGCTCCTCGACGGCCGGCCACGGGACGTCGTCGTTGAGGGACACGTGTGTCAGGCAGGGCAGCAGGGCGAGCTTGCCGACGTACATGAGCGCCTGCGCGTGCTCGGGGAGGTAGTCGAACACGTCATAGTGTGTCAGCGTCTGGAAGCACGCCAGCCCGAGGTCGACCTCCTCCAGCTCCGGGAACACGTGCGTGAGGAACAGCGCGATGCGCTCGAGGCGCAGACCGGCGAGGACCGGGAGGAGGTCGCGGCAGACGAGCGGGCCGGCGCCGGCGATGCGTGTGATGCCGGTGCAGAGCTTAAGCGCGGAGAGCGCCGGCTGGAGCGGGACACCGTCGTCGGTCGTGATGTGGATGAAGAGGTACCGCACGTGCTGCGCAAAGAACGCGGGCGGCTTCCACCCGCCGTTGGCGTTGTCGAGGAACGACAGGAACCGCTTCGAGTCGTCCACGGTCACAGTGTGGTATGCAAGCGGCTCAATCCTGCAACGCGGGTTGGTGCTAGCACTGCGGAATTGAGGAGCTCATACCACAGCTGCACGCGTTTCGCCACGACCAGGAGCCGCGGAATCGATGGCGGGTCCATCTCAGCCGCGGCCTCGAAGATCTCACGCTCCAGCTCGGGCGGCAGGCGTGGCCCCAGCGACGCGTCGATAAGCTCCATCAAGGGCAGAAGCAAGAGTGGCTGCCGATCAATGACTCATGTGACCTGACTCAGTGTGACCTGATCCCGGCAAATGGAGGGCTGATTTAGGCCGGGACACACCAGATGCGACTACATTCATTCAGATGCAACATTTATACCTTCAGATGCAACACACGGGCACAGATGCAACAGACTGCCAACAGTCTGGTCCAAAAACAGATGCAACAGTAGAAACATGAATATTTTGTTTTAAGTAATATTTGTTAGTATTGGTTAGTGTTAGTTAGGGTTGGTTAGGGTTTGGTTAGTTAGGGTTAGGATAAGGGAAAGGTACATCTATATATGCTGTTGGGGGAAATGCTGAGTTAATGTTGTAACTATTTGTTAGGGTTTGGTTAGGGTTGGTTAGGGTTATTTTTTATTCAGAGGAATACTAGTATTAACTACCAGTGTGATACAATCAATTGATTGCTGTTGTGGTGTCGCATCTGGGCCATCGAAAACAGACGCACCAGCAGGCATGGAACGGATGCGACACCTGTCGCGTCTGTTTTCCTGCCTGTTGTCGCATCTGTATAATCCTCGATTTAGGCTCTAGCGTTAAAGACAAAAATCAATTGAAAAGTTATCCATAGACTTCTTTTGCATAGTAACTAGTAAACAAATAGCAAATTTTGACATAAAGTAAATTTTCCAAATAAATCTGTGCCTGACTCAATCCGACTACAACAGATATATGTCCCCTTCATCTCAGAGTTTAAGCTGACATTGATACAACGAAAAATCTGGGGACAACTATAGAATACTTATATGTATCTAGACATTAATCGGGAAGAGACCTGATTCAGAGATTTTTCTGAAATTGGGGCTGTCTAGCAAGTAAAGAGACATGTAGGTGTTGCCAGTAACAAAAGATTAGGTGGATGGGTACTAATGACAAGAAGATGGATGTATAGAACTTGAACGTGGAGTTATGCACACATGCTTCACGCCTCAGCCGAAGTACAGCACATGCAGCTCTCTCTCGCCCTCGACATCCGAGTCCTGTCGACCCGACATCTGTCAGCTTTCCCTCGAAAGAAGACATCAAACACGCACCTTCTCGCCCAAGATGCACGCATTGCTCATATGCACGCCCTCCCAGTCGACCACCTCCCGTGACGTGATGTCCACATACCCCAGCGCCGCCCCGAGCGGCTCCGCGAACGCGCCGTGCTCCGCGTCCGCGGCGGGCATCCGCACGCGTCTCGTCGCCTGCGCGGCCTCGAGGACGTCCATCTTCGCGGCGTCGAGCTGCTTGCGCACGCGGTTCACAGTCTTGTAGTTGAAGTCCAGCACGCGCACGTGCCGCGGGCCCTCCGGCTCCGCGCCCCCGGCCTCGCCGAGCGCGACGAGACGTGTGCCGACGAACCCCGTGACCGCGTACCCGGACAGCGCGAGCCCGCTGCGGCCGGCGTCGAGCCACGTGGACGCGTGCGGGCCCCAGTCCGCGAAGGGCACCTCCACGAGCGGCGCGCCGTCCGCCTGCTCGCGGTACCCCGCGTAGAAGCGCTCGCGCAGCCGCAGGCGGTCGATGACGACGATCGTGGGCGTCGTGACCAGCTCGACGTCGGCGTCGGCGGGGTCGGCGTCCGTGGCGGTGTCGAACATGAGCACGATGAGGGCCTGCTCCGGGTCGGGCCGGAACGGCGTGCGGGTCTGCGCGGGGGTGTCATGGAGGTCGCGGGCCGGCGGCGGCGCGGGGACGAGGTGGGTGTGCGGCGTGGGCTGCGCGCGGCAGTCGAAGGAGTCCCAGAGGAGCTGGTGGCCGGGGCGCAGCGCGGGGAGGCGGAAGGAGAGCATCCAGCCGTAGCTGTCCGCGCCGAGCGCGAGCACGTCGAGGCAGTGCGTGTGCGGGTTCGGCACGAGCAGGAGCGCGTCGTGCACGAACGCGAAGCTCGTCAGCGAGCACGGGACCGCGTCCGTGAACGCGCGGCCCGACGGCCAGTGGATCAGGTGCAGCAGGTCCAGCTCCACCTCGTCTTCCGCGCTGGCCACGAAGCAGGCTGCGATGGCCAGCGTGGACCCGGCCACCTCCACCCGGAGGTCCGGCACGCCATAGCCCGCGGGCGCAGTCGTCAGCTCGATTGTCCGCGCCAGACCAGCTTGGACCGCCCCAGTCGACAGCTGTCGCAGATGTGCAGCCAGCCTGCGCATTCCGTTATTCTCCGCCGACCTGTTTTCCAGTCAGAAAGGTACGAAGAAGAGAGACAGCAACGCACAGCGTAACCACCACCAACAAGTCCCACTCCGACACCACACAAATGTCCACCACCGGCTGCGTTATATCCTCCGGGGCCAGCCATCCCTCACTCCCATCCAAAAACATATACTCCACCCTATCACACATCGCCGCCTGCGGGCCACTCTTGTACGCCAGCGCATAGCAGTCCTCGCCGACGTCATACAGCCGCACATCGCGCGTCGCCACCGCCCGCCGGCCCACCGGCGCGAACGCCCGCCACCGCTCCTCCCGCTCCCTCAGCGCCGCCCGCCGCGCGAACAGCGGGCCCGCCGCCCCGTGCGCGGTCTCCGCGACGCCACACGTGTCCTGCTCGACGCGGAACTGGATCGCGGGCGCCTCGAAGATGAGCGTGCTCAGCGCCAAATTGTGCATGTCCAGACACGCGAGCAGGTCCCCGAGCGACAGGTGCGAGAGGCACATGAGCAGCACCTCCGCGGGGAGGTCGAGCAGCTGCAGCATTGCGATGATTGTTGAAGGAAGACAGGGTCAAGAAAATTACGTGTCAAATAGTCACGGTCACTGCTGTGTCACAGATTGTGACACAATCTGACACAATCTGTCAAAAAAACAGTCAATATTAATGATACAAAAAGGCTCCTTGTGACCAAAAAAGTCCTATTTTTCCACCCTACAGGCAAGCTTTTTTGCCACAATCTGGGAAGCTTTTTTTTTCCCTATGGATTTATTTGCTATCCACTTGAAACTTTTTTTCTACTCAATAAAGATAGCCTTTTTTGGCATATTATTACCTTCATTAAGATTTTTTTTAAATGGTCCAGTTTTCTTTGGAATCCTCCGGGTGATTTGCTGTAGCTGCACAGAAGGCTGTCTGAAAAATTTCCTTTTTAGGCAATTAAGTCCTTAAGCCCTGTGGCTTATTGAAGGGCTTAAGGCTTACTTAAGGCTTAATCAATTTTGGACCTGTAAGGGCAACCCTGGAGGCTCTGACAAAAGCCTGGCAGGGGAGGATCCAAAGCGTGAATAAGAGCTACAGAAATACATGAAGGGACCGACCTAGCAGGGGAGGATCCAAAGAGAAGAAACTCTAAGGGTCCGCCTGCTGGGGTGCCAACTATATACTGGTCATCCGTAGCTGCCGACGTAGAGCGCAGAAGGCCTGAGCAGCATCGCAGGCTCTGTCCCAAGGTGATCATTGGGAGGGTCTTGACGGATCGGTGATTGTGCGGGCGAAGGAGGTCGTGGACGATGGTCGGGGTGGGTCGGAGCGTCCGAGGGGGCGCCGGTCGGATGCGCCTCGGATGCGTTCGGAGGGTCCGAAGGAGGCCGAAGCGGGGGTTCCCCTGACATTACCCCCCCTTTGAATGTGGTGTCCCGACGCATAACACGGAAGGGTAGCGAGTCAAAAGTTGCTGAGGCGATGTGTCGCGGTTTACCTGGGTATCTCCGATAGAAATCCGCGACTTTGTCTGGCGCGAAGACGCGGTTGAACTGAACCCACGAGTCGTGTGAAGCGTTATAGCCTTTCCACCTGATGAAGTAGTTAAGTTGCCGAATGAACCTGCGGTAGAAATTAGCAAACCCCAGAAACTGCTGGACGTCCCACCTGTGGATCCCACATAACCCTCCTAGTTAGGATGGAGGGTACACTCAACCCTCCATCCTAACTAGCAAGGAACCTGTTAAAGGCCCTATGCTGTGATAAATACTGCAATAAAGCTGCTATAAAGTCAAGAAATCTCAGATAAAGAACTTAGAAACTTCAAGTCCAGTCATCAGCGGTGTTGTGATCATCAATCATCATCCTATCACATATTACCAAAAGAGGAAATTTCTGTTTCATGAAAGCACTGAGCTATAAGTCCAATAACTTTAGAATTCTCTTCTCATCATCAATGATTAGGTCAGAACTGCCTAAAAAGGAAATTTTGATCAAAATAACACAGGCAAAAATTGGCAACAAAATCAATCTGTACCCTCCATCCTAACCAGAAGGGTTATGTGGGATCCACAGGTACATATATTGATTAATCTTAAGAACAATCATTTAATAAAACAATGACAAGTCAATTAATTCATGAGGATCAGTCCATTCTAATTAAGACAAAGTGATTGTGACTACTCTATGGATAGACGGCAACAGAAAAAAAAAGACTAGAAGTACGAAGGTAGGCAAACAACTCAAGTAGCAGATTCTCGAACACCAGGAGGACCCTTTCCTTTTTTGCCCTTGGCAAATGCTCGGGCAGTTGAGGTATCATTGACTCGGTTCTTCCCAAATGCCGGTCGAGGCTTCGGTCTACCCCCTCCACTAGCGTTCATCTGACGCTTCAGTCGACGCAGCGCCTCACCCCCATCATCCAATGCTTCGTTTTCCTTCCCCTCCCTACGTTTCTTTTTCTTAGTCCCACCCACATCATCTCCATCATCGTGCTTTCGCTTCAAACTGCTCGCCTTGTGTTTGGTTTTCTTCTGCAGTTGGGGTTTGTTGGCCGATTTGGCAGCTTTGCGAGCAGCCGTTGCCCGGGCAAGCGCTGGGAGCATCTTCCGCTTGCACTGGATGGTAGACTCGCTCTCTTCGTCGTCTCCATCTGCGCGGTCTCCGTCAACATCAGATGGGTCCTCATCACTGTCGACCCGCTTTCGTTTCTTCGATTGATGCGTCATTCCCTTGTCCTTCCTCGGCTTGCGTGTTTTGGCCGGGAGATTGCCATGCTGCAGCTTCAGACGCTTGAGCTCCTTCTCGACCCCCTTGTCGTCCAACCATTCCCATTTCAATGTCTTTTCCCGAAGTGCGGAGTAGAGAGTCCGGGTGTCCGAGTTGTTCTTGAGAGACATCCGTTTGAAGGGAATGTCTTCGGGCCAAGAAATTGTGACGCTATGAACAGCGACGATTCTCTCGCTGAAGTTCTCGAAGTTCATCCGAATGGACTTCCCCGTGATTTCTTCTGCATGAGATGAGTAGACTGTGAGAACACCATGGGAAATGCATACCTAATCCACGCTGAATTGAGGCCGCAGCTTCAACCCGCATCTCCGGAACACTGAGCGCTCCAATTGTACCTTCAATTATCATGAGAATATGCGAGAGTAACGAGAATTAACACTGACCTTTAGCTCGAGCAACAGCCCAGAGCTCGAGCATGGGTGGGATTTGCAGAGGATCCTTTTTGAAGACGTCGGCAAAGAAACGTGAAGAGCCGCCAGATTCGACAATGACTGGGACCATGGTGTCATTGAGATGACCTCGACTGAATATTGCTACGCCGAGCACACCAGTTCGTCTTTCAAGATCGACCATCTATACGTGGATCGTCAGACATTCCGCTGAAACTTACAGGGAATGATACACACCTCATCCGAAATAGACTTAACCGACTGCACTCCATCCATCGTAGCCGTCTTGTTGTCCCTTCTGATGCCCGAATGACGACCCTTCCGCTCAGTCCGGATTGCCTCTTTCATTGCTTCAACTTGCTCTTGTGTGACATCGTCAAGAATAGTTGAGTCCTTGGCAATCATGGCCTGAACCTCGCGCAGCTTATACTTCTCCCCGACAGGAAGGTCTAGATGTCATCAGTATCCAGTCGGCAAGTAACAATAAGTTCGGGCAACACACCTTCATTGAGCGTCATCATAACATGCTTAATCTTCGCATTGTAGCTGTTGATAGCACGAGGCTTCTTGTTTAGCCGTTGGGAGGCATTCGTGATGCAGCGCAAGACTTCTTGTTGAACGACCCCATACTTGGCAGCAAGCTCGGGCACCGCGTCCCGGACAGGCGCAAGAAGCTCACTGATGGCTTCATTAAGCTCGACGCCTCGGTTTTCCTTAGCTAGCTTCTTCGCGCGCCTCGTTGCGCCGGAAGTTAGCGCCCTTCTTGACCCATGGCCAATGACGAGTAGGTACCATTTGCCGCAGCGGGTGACGGCTCGCGTGAGTACTCTTTACACGAGCAACGGGTAATTCGTCAACCCAGTTATGATTTCCATCGTCGTCAATGGGGTCGGTATCGAGAGCCCCCAAAGAACTGGGAGAAGGCATCCTGAGAAAAGCGGTGGTTGGTGGTCAGGGTTTGCGAGGGACCTGTGAAGAGAGTGACACACCAACGTAAAGTCGGCCGTGCTTGTGAAGAGTTCTTGTGAAGAGTGCTTGTGAAGAGTGAAGACTGGGTCCATTTCCGAATTCGTCATTGCTGGACAGGCTGACAGCAGTTAATAATATTTCGCAGTAACTATTCGTGGACTTGCAATTGGTATACTAACAGTAATATCTTCCTATGAGCATCGTACGCCATGGCGGCGCATTCGTTCCTTCAGCGTATTGCGTGTATGGAGCAACAGCTTCCCGTCTTGAAGCTTGTCAACGGCTGTGATACTGGGAGAAATGGTCAGGGGAGAGAAGTTGTATCAAAGGCCGAGACTTACTGGTCTCGATAAATATAGCCAGTGGTCGAGTTGAAAGTGAAGATAGTTTCACGTCATTCGGGCGAATCCGCATCGAAGTCAGAGCCGGAGCTGACTGAAAGACCCAACTCCATTGCTGCTTCGGAGATACTCTCACTGTCAGGGGAACCTCCCTTTCGGCCCGGAGACGCGTCCGATTCCGGTCCGATTCTTGTTCTGACTCCGGTCCGGCCCTCCATCTCGCCCCGCACAATCACCGATCCCTCAACGCCCTCCCGACGGTCGCCCTGGGACCTCGCCTGCGACGCCGCCCAAGCCTTCTGTGCCCGACAGCGGCAGCTACGGACAAGCAGTATATAGTCAGCTCCCTAACAGGCGGACCCTTAGAGTTTCTTCTCTTTGATCCGGCAGCCCCAGCGTGAGTGTCCGTTAGCGTGCAAGAGAAGGCAAAAACATACACAGTGTGCCCATAGTCCCGTTTGTTGTCCAGCAAGCTTCAATGTATGCCAACCCATGGAACAACTCCTCCAACACAACCGGGTCAGACTTGCCAAATATAGACATGTTACCCTTGGTCTGGTTCAAAGTCTAGACCGGTCCCTGGCCTAGAGTAGGCCTAGACCTTATGGCCGGGTACATATAGATTTGATTCAGAGGTTTACAACATTTATTCTGAGATTCCTCATATGTTGCATGCCTATTGTGCATGAAAATGAATTTATAGGGTCCATATGTTAGTATTCATATAGTGGTCATATTGACAGCTCATTATCCAACGGCAAATGCAGACAGATCATCGACGAGCGGGGTAGAGTGGAACCAAATAGGCCCATTAACACGGTCCCTTGTTGTTGTCAGTTGTTGAGGTAATCGGCGGTACCTCCTTGCACAGAGAGAAGCTTTAGATGATCTAAGCGATAGAGTACAGTACACTCCACTATCACAATTTATATATGCAGGCCCACAAAGGGGTAATTGGACACCCTGGCCTCTCCTACTCCTCCTTGCCGCCGTTCCTGGCCAGAGAGGAGACAATCGTATGTCCCTTCTGATCCAGGCGCTACTCCTAACCTCCTATCACTCCTCCCCAGTCCCTGGTGTCGAATTGGGCTTGGCAATGGCTCGACGTGACCGACGTGTCATTCTCAGTCACGTGCTTCCCATGTGTATGTTCCTCCTACTGGGGCACCTGTTCCCCATCATCACGTGCTGCATGTTATGGGCCTGCAATGGCCCGACACCAGCGTTGAAGTGGATGGGCCGGGTCTTATCCGTGACAACCTCGTTCTGCAATACAACAGACAAAGCTGGCGGTAACCCACGGTGGGTTACTGCTACCCACCTTGGAAAACAAGATCTGGATTCTGATACTCAGATACTCCTGGCTCAAAAAGCACGATCCCGAGATCAACTGGGAAACGAAGAAGGTGAAGATGAGCTGCTGCCCCTGTAACTAGTGCTGGCCCAATACGAATATGATACGCCATTTGGTGTATCGTATCATATCCATATCATATCGGGAGCCTGTATCGTGTATCATATTCATATTCTTGACTTTGAACTGCATCGGGATGGCTCCTAGATAATGTTGGTAGGTCTACACCCCTCTATGGTTTGTGTTAGGCACTTACAGGATCCAGAAATCCACACCACAACTGCAAATAAAACTTTTTTCCTCCATCAAACCGATACAGATACGATATGCACATCAAAATGGTGTATCGTATTTGTACTTTCAACGATATATTGAAAATATATTCTTCGTATCGTATCGGTGGCCAGCACTACCTGTACTGTAGCATTTTAATCAATTCGGCGCCCAAAATGTCTGTGACATCGGCGCCGAATTGAAATTTTCGGCGTCCGAGGCCTCCGAGTGTGACCGCCAAAATCTTTCGGCACATTACGGCGCGGCCCGCAGGGCCGCGCTTAGCCAAAAATGGCCAATTTGCCAGGTGAATTCGGCATTTGTCGCTGTTGTGTGTGACCGCCGAAAAAATTTCGGCGTTTTAAAGGCGGTGTGACGCGTGACCGCCGAATTGATTAAAATGCTACAGTAACTGCTCTACCTGTTGCAACGAGGAGCGAACTAGGCATGCTGAGGTTCAGCGCCTCTAACTCCTTAAGTCACGCAGGCGCCTTCCCCACTATCTGCGCCGTTGATATCACTGGCCCAGATGGCACCAAAGATGACCTCGGGGATACTTCGGACTCGCCGGGTCCTTCACTGGACCTCGAATAAATCTATGGGGAAAAACAGCTTCCCAGATTGTGGCAAAAAAGCTTGCCTATAGGATGAAAAATGGAGTTTTTTTGGTCACAAGGAGCTTTTTTTGTATTATAACATTGATTGCTTTTTTTTGGACAAGATGGCTATTCCATTTATTAGGTCTTTTTGAATCTTTTCCCCCAACAAATGAAAATTTCCCTTTTTTGGCCAATTATTACCCTCAGTAAAGAGTTTAAAAATGCTTCAGTTTCGGGGGTGAAAGGGACGCGCGCATAGCTGTCCCGCGCACGATGCCTCACTGTAGTCAGGACCCTGACATTGAATCCAGCTGAATAGCGGATCCATCGACTCGCGGAAGTGTACGGTACGGCGACGGGACGGCCGTGACGCCGTAATGACCGTCCCGTATACGGTGACGGTCGCTGTACTCGGCGGAAGCTCGCCTACCCGGGATTTGATTCGGAGATCGTTGATCCGCCGGGTATCGGACCTCTGGATGTCCGTTGCTCGGGCCCAGCCATCTGCCAACACGGCTTGGCTAGCCTCTCGAGTCTCAGACAGCGCCCAACACTCCAGGCAGGCGCTTGGCACCGCCGCCCGACCCGGCCCGGTCGCTCGGAGGCAGAGTTTAGCCACATGGCCGGCCGTCACCGTCACCGTAATACGACGTGACGGCGCCGTCCCGTACCGTAAGCGCTTTGAAGTCAAGCGCGGCGAGGGGCCGTCCCGGCGCCGTCAGAGGCCGTACTTACCGTCTACGGCCGTAGCTGTATACGGTACGGTAACTCGGACTCCATTCGCGGACCCGCGGATCGCCACATTTGAACAGCCAAGGCCAGCAATCCACTAGTATTAGATCTGCACAATTTCGAAAAAAAGCTGGCTGGCTTTTTTTCCCATCAAGATTGACAGGAACGCGATGCGGTGAACGAGGTCGTGGAAGCCGTGTCGAGCTACGCGCTATGTCCCCTGCCATGTAATGCCTCAGGCCGCAGGCGCCAAACAAACCCCTCAGAAGCCCGAGCTTTGATAAAGAGAGGGAGAGAAGGACAGTCTGAGCCAACCAGCGGCTAGCGCTCTTCCGGCGCTGTCCAGTTTCGCAGCATTATTGACAGAAATGTGTGCTCAACATGTTTCGAATTTCGAAACCCATCTTTCAAATTCCGAAACCGGTTGCGAAAATCGAAACCCCCGTGAATAATTCCGCAAGCTATATATACTTGGTGTCTAGGAATGGGGTCCTCGTCGATTCTTCTTTTCTGCAACTACTCCCCGGCCTATTCCTTGCCTTCAACTTCTCGCCGCCAGACCGGCTTTGCTTTCCTTCACTTCTGTTTGCGCTAGATCGCAACTTTCTTCTTTAACTCATCCGCCCCCCCACCGTCACGTCCTTCTTCTACCGACCAAACGATGCGCTTCCAGACAAGCTTCCTCGTCTCGCTCCTCCTGACACTGCCCGTGTTTGGTAGTCTCGAGCCGCCTACCACGGCAGACGACGCCGAGCTAATGGTGCGCCGAGTTCCTTTTTCTGCTGTATCTTTCCGTCGCATTGAAGCGGCTTACGTTATAGGCGCTTGAGGCTCGTGCAGCGCGCAGTTTGAAGAAGCGGGTGCGTAATCCCGTGTTTGTCAGCCACGCCGCTCACTGCCTCTGTACATAGGCGACGAATCCTCCGGCCAAGGCGCCGGTCAAAGCGCCCGCCCCAGCGCCAGCAAAAGCGCCGGTCAAAGCACCCGCCGCCGCGCCAGCCAAAGCGCCAGCCGCCGCGCCAGTAAAAGCGCCCGCCCAGGCGCCAGCAAAAGCGCCGGTAAAAGCGCCCGCACAAGCGCCCGCCAAAGCCCCAGCAAAGGCTCCAGCAAACGTCCCCGCGAAGGCACCGGCTCCGCCACCTGCCGCCAAAGCACCTTCCAAGGCACCTGCAAAGGCACCTACCAAGGCACCCGCGAAAGCGCCAGCCAAAGCAAAGAAGTCGTGCCAGGCACAGATCACCAAGGCGTTGCAAGCACGCTATGCTGAATTCACGCTGAACCGTCACGAGGCGCGTGCGGGCCTAGCGCACCCTAGCGGGAAGGGCCGCGTCACGCTCTTCCACGGCACCGATCCAAGCAAAGCCGCGTCCCTGACGGCCGGCGTGAACCTCGCGAAGACCGCTCCAACAGGCGACTTCAACCACAAGCCCGAGGTGCCCGGCGGTTTCTATCTCACCGACAGTGTCATTGCTGCAGCACAATTTGCGTGCTGGGGCGCAGAACAAGGAGAACCGGCAAAAGTTGATGTCTTCGGTAACTTGTTTCGATCCCTCTAAGCTGGGAGAACGTTGATCGTCTGAACCACCCGTTGCAGAGTACGCCTGGGACGGAGTTGGTGCTGGAGTATTCGAGTTTCCGGGCCAGACGCCAGACTGGCTAGAGGTGCGTGTGTTCATCGCTTAGCAACTCACCCACATGTTGTTGCAGTTTCTGTTCTATAACAGCGAAGAGGATACCACCAGGGAGAACGTTGACGACGATTTCCGTGCCCAAGCCGTCGAGATATACAAGAACAAGGTGATGATCACCGGGCCGATGAACGGCCAAGACGGTGTGTCTTCTCTTCGAGTTTTGCTAGACCTGCTGCTCATACTCATACTATGCGTATCCGCAGATGAGCTCATCACCAACGAGTTCCAGCAATACGCTATCATCAATCAAGCTGCGGTGACTTCGCGCCTCAGGCTGGTCGCGCGGCACCAGAACATCGTCTGCAAGAACGTGCCCCAGGCGGATGCGCTGACGACGACGCTGTACACCAAGGGCCAGGGGGGGAACCCCAGTTTCCAGAGCCTCCTTACGAAGCTTCAGAACCCGAACCTTGTGTCGGCGTTGGAGAGTTGTTGAGTAAGGGGTGGAGATGTGTGGGAGCACTTATTACTAGTACTGCCGGCCTGAGCATGTACTTGATATATAATAGTAAAGTTTCGAGACAACTTCCGATGGCACTGTCTTTCGTGCCAGAAGCCGGTTTTGGCTGCGTCAGGCCTGTGTTGGCTTCAGCAACTATGATGGAAGAGGATATGGAACACGCACCGTAATGCCTCGCGGACATATGCGAGCATTCAAGGCCCGGGATCCCAGGCGTTCGCAAAGCTGTCGTGAACAGAGAGTTCGCTGGATGGTCTGGGAAGGACCGGAGCCGGGATCTGCGTACTACGTAGAGGGGCGCGAAGCCTGCGCCGAGGTCGGACAGGGTGTCCTGAACACCTGCTTGAACGCCGTTGACAGCCACTCGCCGTTGGGCTTCTCCAAGCGTGTTCCGGGCCGAGGTCCGTCGCGGATGGCTGAAGCGACGCAGTATCCGTTGGGAGGAGGGGACACACGTGCGGGATGGTGTTATAGAGCAGCGTTAAAGCGGTGTCTGATCTTCTTGGCGGGTCAGCACGGAAAGCGCCGTCGAGTCGACGGCGATCAGCAGCCGCATACGCAGGGTGTATTGGGGAAACGAAGGAATGCTGCCCCAATTATCATGGAGCATTACTTACCTCCATTCCTCTCTGTTCCCGCATGTTGATCCACTCGCCAAAAAAAACACTGCATCTGCTAAAGACACCTCCGCTTCCCACTGCAAGGTATCTTGCTCCGTGATTCCTGCCGCATGCAAGAAAAAAACGCAGAAAACCGCATGTCTTCTCTCTTCATTCGAATAAAGGTGCCTATAATAGCACGGTCGAATAGAATCCTCCGAGCCTGTGTGTTCGCATTGGTGCCCCCCGCATTTGTTGCATGACGAACGATAGCTGCGCGAAGTAACCTTGGCCCGTCCCTCGCTCAACACCGGGAAAACGATCTGTCTGCCGCCTTCCATTTTCCCCCTCGTCACAGCTTATGCTCCCTGCTCCTTCCCTTTCTCCGCCCACTCTTCTCCTCTCCCTCCTCAACTACCCCCGCCACGCGCCTAATCACCGCCCAATCCACACTCTTCCCCATCTTCTCCGCCTCGTACGCCTCACGAAACGCCGGGTTGGTAAGCACCGCCCACGCGATGCGAGCAGGTCCGCTCATACGACGAGCACCGCCGCACAGCGCCCGCGCGGGAGCGCAAACGGGAGCGGCTCCGCGTGGTGGGCCGCTAGGTTCTTCAAGCATCTCCAGACACACCGTATGTGAGCGGATGCACCGGGTATCGGGCAAAAAACATATATACCGGCGCGACTCTGCGCTCAGCGGCGGGATCCGCGCGGCGCTCAGCTTCAGCCGCTTCGGGCGGTGGTACTCCAGCAGGTTCAGCGGCTTCGGCGCCTTGTCCGACGACGGCATGCGTTGTTGTGGAGGTGGGAAGAGGGAAAGAGACAAGAGACAGCGTGACCGCGGATTGATGGATATAATTTTTTGGAAATGGAAATAAATTGTAAAGGTTTCTGCCAAAAAATAGGCCCTGAAGTAGGATTTATTTATGATAAATAGTGGACAAAAAAAATATACATTTTCACAACTTGGAACAATAACAAATAAAACTCCAGAAAAGTAGACTTGATTTGTAAAAAAAAATTGGGGCATATATTAAGTCATCAGATTGACTGAACTCAGAGCCAATATTAGCTGACAATTTTGTGGTAATGATTTGCAACCGATAAATGTGTCACAAGATATGAGACCATATATATCAAAAATCTGGGCCAGCACCAAAGTGTACCTAATATATCAGAAATAAGTGATAAATGGCCATTATATATGACAAGTCACCCTTATATATGACAAATTGCGGCAATAACATTGTGATACTATTTTTTCAACAAATATTTGGGCTTGAATAATGTGTACTTATTGTCTACAAAATATGGTCAGGAACTTTGGGGTAGTCATAATATATGCAGTATTTGATACTATACCATGATATAGAACTTGATTTCTTGTAAATCAGATACAGTTTGTGTAACTTTTATTACATATCCATCAAAGCAGCAAAAAGGGCCATTGTTTTGGACCATTATTTCTTATATATAAATCCTGCTTAGGGGACCATTTTTTTTGGCTGAAACTCTGGTGTGAGTACCATAAAATGCATGATCAACAGCCATTTCAGACTCCAAACCTTCATTCCGCCCAACAATATTTTTCCTTTTTCTTTTAAATTCCTTACACCAATGCTTCCCAATGCTTCTCTCCATCATAGTGGCTTCCCTATAACTGTGGCAGCTCATGCTTGGTTCAACTTGGACCTTGAACCTAGAAGCTGTTCCTCCCAGTATAGTTACACTGTAGGGCTCCAACCCAATACAATACAATACTCGATCACCTGTTTAGCCCACAGAATACTGTGAGTTATCAGTGGTAACCCGCCAGGGTGCCATTGACAAGGCTCAGTATTTTCAGAACATCCCCTGAGGTGAATAATTGCTGGGGAGAGGGGTGAATAAAGTTGAGCTCTAAGGCAAAATTCGTACTAAGTCCAGTATGTAAGGGGTGAATAAAGGTGAATAATACAATATAGGTCATCCAGACCAAGTCTCCCGGAGTCACACTACGTGACAGGTGACACGGCATCCCAAAAAGGAACTTTAGTCAATAGAGATTGGAGTTGGTAGTTTTAGTGACTATGTCATATGGTTATATACTATAACATAGAGTGATACATATAAGAAATTTCCAAAAAAAGGAAATTTCCACAATCATTGCAGAATGTCACAAATTGTCACAAAATAACAGTTCTCTATTTTGACTATACAAACAACTTTCATTATGTGATGTATAGTGGCAGCTGAATAGTAGTATCAGAACTGTCCAATCACTAGATGATGTTCAACTGATGGGCTTCTATTTCTATAACTACTTGATATAAATACATGATTTCAGTACTACCAGGAAGGCCTTTCAGGGTATCATTACTTGAACATGGCATTTAATCACCATCATATGATATAATCACTCTACTGACCATGTATTCACATGAAAGAGGATATGTGGGTGCTTAAAGTGATAAGACTGCTGACTTGAACCTTCAGATACCCTAAGCCAATGTTTGACTATGTCTACTTCCAATCCAAACTGAATTGGGCGCTGAAAATGCAAGGCATTCTCTCATCAGTGGCATTTGATTTCCATCAATTTGGAAGATAGGCTTAGATCTCCAGCTGGCCTCAGTGGATAAAGCTGGAGGAGAGCTCATTTGAAAGGTATATTATCCTACTCCTATTTAGCCTAATGTTCCATATCATCTGTGACCTATTACCTTGATCTATTTAGTGCCAAGCATGTATAAACACTAAGTTAAGGAATATTTTGCTGATATCTTGGGACCCTATGCATGGAATCTCATGATCTAAAGTGATATGATATCACAGGATAGTCCATTATAATCCCACCCATTAGTGATGCTGTAGCATGTGTTAGGGTGAGTCAATTGTTGGAGACCTTAGGTGCCACATAACCCAGGATGGAGATATGCCAGAGAGGCAAGGGCACCACTTTATGGGAGGTGGATCATACACCTACCATTGAATATACTGAAATTCCTCAGACTTCCACAGGCCATACTATGGTGAACCCATCATTTTGGGAATAGATAACACTGATAATGCTACTGTGAGAGATCCATCATAGCTATGAGGTTGATTCAAGTACTGGACAGGTTCATTTGAAGGTGTATACCATCCTACAATCAAGTCTTGGGACATACTTGAAATTATTTTCTGACCAGTTGTAATAGCGAAGACACTCTCTTCTGCTCTATAGGTACCTACCCTCTCTTTAGCTACCTTCTGCAACACATGCCATAACCTCAACCAATTTCAGTACAGAGTCCTAGTAGATATCCCAATACCCCAATACATGCATCTCAATGTCCAATACTCAGTCTATAGACCCCACTATTCATGTAAACTAGTTTTGCATCTAGCCTGCAGTTGATTGTCACATCTGTGCCAAGGCTCTGTTTACAGGGGTCTGTTCTCACACAAGGAGTCGACAATTTTTGGGTTTTGTGACTTTTCCTACTTAACATTATACATCTTTCTCTTTATGACAAGTGGAGTTTGGTTGTTTTTGTGGGTTAGATTGGTTAGAGAGCTCATTTGCTGTCCTCACTCCACACTCATCACCGGTCCAGCCCTCCATCTCACCTACACAATCACCGATCCGTTAACACCCTCCCAACAGTTGCCCTGGGACCTCACCTGTGACACTGCCCAAGCCTTCTGTTCCCTATGGCGGCAGCTATAGACAAGCAGTATATAGCCAGCTACTTAGCAGGCGGACCCTTAGAGTTTCTTCTCTTTGGATCCTCCCCTGCTAGGTCAGCTTCATTTGTATTTGCTTACCAATGTTCATGCTTCCTCCCCTGTTAGGACCTTGATCTCAGGCCTCCAGGGTTGCCCTTACACATAAATTGTCATAGGGACCTCAACTAGCCTAAGTTCCTCAATGTTCTCATTAGCTAGTATTCTTCCTTATATAATAACCTTGTATTCTAGTTTCTAATTAATCCCTTTGTGATGATGTGATGTCACATAGTGTCTAAGCCCGAGGTTACCTTGCAAGGTTTCAGCCTGGGATTTATTCACTTTATAGCAGCTTTATTGGAGTATTTATCACAGCGTAGGGGTTTCAGAGCCATCCTCTCTAATTATAATTAGAGAGGATATGTGGAATCCACAGGTGCTTGAGGTCATTCACTACTTAGTTTCTAATATACCCATGACAACCAACGATTAGGCTGGAAATTTCTGGCAGAAACTGTACCAACTTGATTTTACCTACTTTTAGTATGCAGAAGAAAAAATCAAAGTTGAAGCCGAATGGGGATGTAAGGGCAACCCCGGAGGCCTGAGATCAAGGTCCTAGCAGGGGAGGATCCAAAGCGTGAACATTGGTAAGCGAATACAAATGAAGCTGACCTAGCAGGGGAGGATCCAAAGAGAAGAAACTCTAAGGGTCTGCCTGCTAGGTAGCTGACTATATACTGCTTGTCCGTAGCTGCCGCTGTCGGGCACAGAAGGCTTGGGTGGCGTCGCAGGCGAGGTCCCAGGGCGACCGTCGGGAGGGCGTTGACGGATCGGTGATTGTGCGGGCGAGATGGAGGGCCGGACCGGAGTCGGAACCGGAGTCGGACCGGAATCGGGCGCGTCTCCGGGCCGAAAGGGAGGTTCCCCTGACAGGGGACATTTTTTTGATTTTTTGGTTTTTGGTGACAGGGTGGTATAGTATAATCATATTCAGACGCAAAATATGATTATGTTATGATTATATTCAACTATAATCTAGTATGCATATCCCTGGACAAATTTGACATATTTGCTACAGGAAAATTTCCAAGCAGGCTAGACTATCTGTGTCACATCCCAACATGATTACTATTCAAATTTGGTCCTACTAGGAGTAAAGTATCACAATATACTTACAATGGATAACTTGATTGTATCACATTTATCCAAAGTATATGACTGTATGTCTAATCCACACTAAATTTAGTCCTATTAGTAAGCACACAGGCTGGAAAAATGGCTATCATAATCCAACTTACTATATTGGAGTATTGTGTGGCCATAATATAGTATATTCATAATATAATATATATATTCAAACATAATCATATTCAAGTGATCAACCAAAGCCATAATATATTCCTAATAATCTGAAGATATTCAATATTTAATCAACCATAACATAATTCTGGCCAGCACTACTAATAGTGGATCGCTGGCCTTGGCCAACCTTGGCCTCAAACCAAAAAGCGATGAAGCAAGTGATCGAGTCGCACTGGCAGGCTAGCGGCTCTGCACATGTGGCGATCTGCCGGTGAAGTGTGGGCGCGAGTCCGAGTCGAGCGCCGCGGCGAGTCGATGGATCCGCATCCGTCGCCTGCAGTAAGCTGGATTCAATGTCAGGGTAGTAGTATCCGGTTTCGCAGCCCATTGACAGAAATGTGTGCTCAACGTGTTTCGAATTTCGAAACCCATCTTTCAGATTTCAAAACCGGTTGCGAAATCCGAAGCCCCTGTGAGAAATTCCGCGAGCTATATATACTTGGTTGGTGTCTAAGAATGGGGTCGTCGTCGGTTCTTTCTTCCTTTCTGCAACTAGTCCTCGTACTCCCCCGGCCTATTCCTTCCCTTCAACTTCTTGCCGCCAGACCGGCTCTTCTTTCCTTCACTTCTGTTTGCGCTAGATCGCAACTTTCTTCTTTAATTCATCCGCCCCCCACCGTCACGTCCTTCTTCTACCGACCAAACGATGCGCTTCCAAACAAGCTTCCTCGTCTCGCTCCTCCTGACACTGCCCGCGTTTGGTAGTCTCGAGCCGCCTACCGCGGCCGACGACGCCGAGCTAATGGTGCGCCGAGTTCCTTTATTTGCTGTATCTCGCATTGAAGGGGCTTACGTTATAGGCGCTTGAGGCTCGTGCAGCGCGCAGTTTGAAGAAGCGGGTGCGTAATCCCGTGTTTGTCAGCCACGCCGCTCACTGCCTCTGTACATAGGCGACGAATCCTCCGGCCAAGGCGCCGGTCAAAGCGCCCGCCCCAGCGCCAGCAAAAGCGCCGGTAAAAGCACCCGCCCCCGCGCCAGCAAAAGCGCCCGTCGCCGCGCCAGTAAAAGCGCCGGTAAAAGCGCCCGCCCAAGCCCCAGCAAAAGCGCCCGCACAAGCGCCCGCAAAAGCCCCAGCAAAGGCACCGGCTCCGGCCGCCAAAGCACCAGCCAACGTCCCCGCGAAGTCACCTGCCAAGGCACCTGCCAAGGCACCCGCGAAAAAAGCGCCAGCCTCAAGGAAGAAGTCGGCGTGCTCGCAGGCCAAGATCGCCAAGGCGTTGCAAGCACGATATGCGGAGTTCTCGCTAAACCGCCATGAGGCGCGTGCTGGGATATCGCACCCGAGCGGGAAGAGCCGCATCACGCTCTTCCACGGCACCGAGCCCGAAGACGCCGCCTCCCTGGCGGCCGGCGTGAACCTCGCGATGACCGCTGAAAGAGGCGACTTCCACCACAGGCCCGAGGTCCCCGGCGCTTTCTATCTCACCGACAGTGTCATTGCTGCAGCACAATTCGCGTGTTGGGGCGCAGTGGACCAAGGAGTGGAGTTGATGTCTTCGGTATGTTGTTTCAATCCCTCTAAGCTGAGCGGACGTTGATCGAATGAACCATCCGTTGCAGAGTACACCTGGAACGGAGCTGGTGCTAGCGTATTCGAGTTTCCGCCGGGCGAGACGGAAGAGTGGCTAAATGTGCGTGTGTTCACCGCTTAGCCACTCACCCACATGTTGTTGCAGTTTATGTTCTATAACGGCGCAGAGGATACCACCAAGGAGAATGTCGACGATGATTTCCGTCCCCAAGCCGTCCAGATATACAAGAACAGGGAGATGATTACCGGGCCGATGGACAACCTAGGCGGTGTGTCTTCTCTTCAAGTTTTGCTAGACCTGCTGCTCATACTATGCGTATCCGCAGACGAGCTGCTCACCAACGAGTTCCAGCAATACGCAATCATCAATCAACCTGCGGTGAATTCGCGCCTCAGGCTAGTTAAGCGGCATCAGAACATCTTCTGCAAGAACGTGCCCCAGGCCGATGCGCTGACGACGACGCTGTACACCAAGGGCCAGGGTGGGAACCCCAGTTTCCAGAGCCTCCTTACGAAGCTTCAGAACCCGAACCTTGTGTCGGCGTTGGAGAGTTGTTGAGTAAGGGGTGGAGATGTGTGGGAGCACTTATTACTAGTACTGCCGGCCTGAGCATGTACTTGATATATAATAGTAAAATTTCAAGACAACTTCCGATGGCACTGTCTTTGACGCATTCGCGCCAGAAGCCGGTTATGGCTGCGTCAGGCCTGTGTTGGCTTCAGCAACTATGATGGAAGAGGATATGGAACACGCACCGTAATGCCTCGCGGACATATGCGAGCATTCAAGGCCCGGGATCCCAGGCGTTCGCAAAGCCTTCGTGAACAGAGAGTTCGCTGGATGGTTTGGGAAGGACCGGAGCCGGGATCTGCGTGGAGGGGCGCGAACCCAATTATAATGGAGCATTAAGCGCGAACCCAATTATAATGGAGCATTACTTACCTGCCAACGTTGCCCATTCCTCTCTGTTCCCGCATGTTGATCCACTCGCCAAAAAAAACACTGCATCTGCTAAAGACACGTCCGCTTTTCACTGCAAGGTATGCTCCGTGATTCCTGCCGCATGCAAGGAAAAAAACACAGCCTTTCTGCCTAAAACAGCACGGTAGAAGAACTCCTCTGAGTTTCTTCGAATCCTGGTGTATTCCTATTAATATAAGTATCGCGATCCACGAAACGAGGTAGCCTTGACCTGCCCAGTCGACATCACTCCCGCTCCCACTCCCACTCTATCCCCTCTCCTCACAGCTTATGCTCCCTCCTTCTCCTCCTTCCCTTCTTCCCATCCGTCTCCTCGCCCTCATCCACCACCCCCGCCACACGCCTAATCACCGCCCAATCCACACTCTTCCCCATCTTCTCCGCCTCGTACGCCTTACGAAACGCCGGGTTGGTAAGCACCGCCCACGCGATGCGTGCAGGCCCGCTCATGCCCTGCGGATGCGTGACCTCGAAATCGGGCTCGCACGCGTGGGCGACGGTCGCGGCGTGGATCAGAATTGCCCTGGAGAAGAAAATATTCAGCAGGCCTGGAGGAAGTAGTCGATGGCAACGCACGCTGTGAGCCCGAACACAGGCTTGATCCCGCCCGCCTCTCTCCCCGTGATGAAGCGATGTACCCGCCCAACGTGCTGCGCCCCGTTCGGGCCGGCGTAGGTCCACTCGTGGGACGAGTGGTAGGGCACCTCGAGCGTTTCGGGCTCGGCGGGAAACGGCGGGTCGGAGGAGAGGAACGCAGACAGTGGGTGCGAGAAGAGCGCGGCGACCTCGGCCGTGTTGAGGATTGGGCGGAGCGTGTTGTCGAGAATCAGCACGACAACTCTGTTAGTGGTGAGGAGGGAAGGAGATAAAGAAGGGATGACCCACGGTGTGACGACGAGGTTGTTGGATGCCAGGAAGGGCTCGAGGATGCAGAGTAATGGGACCTTCATCCGGTTCAGCGGCAGCCCGATCTCCTCAAACGCCTCCCGCCGCTATCCAACCACATCCATCAGCACCCACCCCATAAAAAAGAGAGAGAGAAAGGCAAAAACACACACCGCAGTGTCCTCAATCGTCCTATCCCGCCTCTCCACCTTCCCACCCGGCAAACTCGTGTCCCCCGCATACGACCGCAGCGTCGCCGACCGTCTTCCCCCTCATCAGCCCTCCCTCCTTTTCCCACAAGGCCACGCACCGGTTCAGCAGGACATACAAGTCCCCGTTCCTCCCCACAAACAGCGCGACGAGCACCGCCGCACAGCGCGCCCGCGGGAGCGCAAACGGGAGCGGCGCGGCGTGGTGGGCGGCCAGGTTCTTCAGGCACCTGCACAAACACCGTATGTGAGCGGACCGGGTATCGGGCAAAAAACATACCGGCGCGACTCTGCGCTCAGCGGCGGGATCCGCGCCGCGCTCAGCTTCAGCCGCTTCGGGCGGTGGTACTCCAGCAGGTTCAGCGGCTTCGGCGCCTTGTCCGACGACGGCATGCGTTGTGGTGGTGGTGGTGGGAAGAGGAAAAGATGGAGGGTGGCGGTGACGCGTGACCGCGGATCGATGGTTGCGGAGCATACTTAACACTTGACTAAGTATAGGCTCATGGCTTATGTCTATGGCTACGGGGGGAAAGTCTAACACATAAGAAGGAGGAAAAGAGAAGAAACTCATAGATTATGGTAAATACCTGATGTCAAGGGTGGGGGGGCCCAGGGGTAACAAAAAAACTTTTTATATAAAGATTCTTTGCAGCAAATATAGGTCCATATCTATTAAAAATATATAATACTCACCTTATGTTACCCTATTGCTCAAGTTATGCCCCCATATTTGAATAATTCAAGGTTCTTGGGCTTAGATAGGTGCAGGGTGACATTTTGTCACATTGTTGTCATCCAGTTATTGATAGCCGGTGACCATTCTTAGCTCAGTCATGGCTTATCCATAGTGTTAAAGAGCTGAAAGTAAGTCTATAAAGAGATATATATGTGTATTCAGCAGGCATACCTGGGGATTCTATTGATCAAATGACAGTTGTTAGAGAGATGCCATGATGCATCAAGGTCTCTAGCACCGACCTGCTCTGATGCATCATGGCATCTCTTTGAAGCCATCCCATCCATGCTGTCGCCCACGCGACCGCCCCCGCCTTCCCGCCCATCGGCTCCTGCTTCCCGCCCCATGTGCTGATGTCAATCTATATGACATAGTGGAGATGATGCATACAGGGCTGGCACCCCGCCACCCCACCGATGCCCGGACGCTTGGCTGGCCCGACCGCCCGACCGCCCGACCGCCCGACCGCCCGACCGCCCGACCGCCCGACCGCCCGACCGCCCGACCGCCCGACCGCCCGACTGCCCACCGCCACTTTACCTCGCTGGTGACTTACCTGCGAGTAGGGCCGCAGGGCTATTCACGCCTGCCTGCTTGCACACTGCGGGTATCCGGTATCCGTTAGTGCTGCGCCGCTGCAGTGGTGCTGCCTATAGCCCACCATGTCCACCTTTGGGTGCTTGACGACGAGCCGGTCTAGCCTCGCTTGCAGCCCTTCGGGGTTTTTAATTAATTATAACAGGTTGCCTTCGGATACTGCCGCGATGCGCAGCGCACCCATGCTGCCTACGAGGTGCTTGGCAATTAAGTGCCATGCTCAGTGCTGCTCCATTTCCGACCATTGCTGGTGTCAATCCTTTCGAGGATCTACAGATTTGTGGCTACAGTCGAAGTCTACATAACCCATAGACATCACAACCCATAATTCCTTCTAACCCATAGGATTTAGTGGTCCACCAACTATGTTCTATGGTAGAAAACCCATATTCCCTGTACCCCATAATACATAAGATTTTGTCGAGTTATAACTTATATCCGAGATCACCGAGAGCCATCATGACTGCAAAAAAATATTCGCTACTAAGCGCTAAGCTACCATGGCAGGCTTCAGCCTTGCTAGTGTAAAACGTGGTCTCCGAAGGCTCCTCGCAAAGACCAAGACACGCCAGGAGGAGCTTCTTGCCCGTCTTCACCGCAGAGAAACGATTACAGATGCAGATGAAGAATGGCTTAATGATGGTGCAAACCATGTTGACTAGACGGTCGTTGTTGACCAATTAGATGAGTCCTCTGATTTTGAGCGCGGGCTTTCGAGACTGGACGAGGCAAAGACAAGAATGGTGGAGGAATTGGCCAGGCTAGGAGAGCCGGAAAGTGGGGCTGAAGCAGATGCTGAAGAAGCGAGAGAAAATGAACTAACGGCTAAGAAGTCCCTCAAAAGTGAGTGTCCAAGGATGTCTTGCTCTGTTCTGACTTCATGGCCATAGGAAAGCGTGATTACACTGAGCAGGAGAAGGTCACTATGCAGGCGAAGTCAGCAGCAACGAGAGAAAAAAACAAAGCCAGCAAAGGGAAGAAAAAGGGCAACACGACACTGGAAGAAAAGATCAGGGTTCTTGATTGGAGGAAGGCCAACCCATCGAAGACTCAAAAGCAGGTTGCAGAGCATTGGAATGAGGAACTTCAGCATGTCACCATCAAGCAACCCTTGGTTTCCGAGTGGATCAAGCAAGAGGCCACACTGCGACAGAGGTGGCAGGAAGCTGTCGAGTCAGGACGTAGAGTAGATGCAAAACGTGTCAGGTTGGTGGAGAATCCGGTCGTCGATGAGATGATGGAGCTTTGGGTACACAACTGCATGGCGCACAATGTCCATCTGTCTGGCGAGATTCTACGCCAGAAATGGACCAAATTTGCCGACCTCTGCAAGGTTCCGATGGAAGACCGCGTCAAACTCAGCGATGGATGGTTGCGGGGTTTCAAGAAATGGTGTGGGTTAAAGGAATTCAAGTGTCATGGCCAAGCTGGCTTGGTGGATCCTGCAAAGGTGACCATGGAGCGGGAGCGGATTTACAAGATCGCACGAGCATATCGACGCAAGGACATCTCTAATATGGACGAGACAGGCTTGTTCTGGGCGTGTGTAATTTCCTGACATTCGATCTCAAAACTGACAGATACAGGATGCCTCCGGATCGCGGCCTCATGACGAAGAAGACCTCTGGTGTCAAAGGAAGCAAGAAACGGCTCACCTATGCATTCACAGCCAACGCTGATGGTTCCGAAACACTCGAGCCATTCATTATCGGTAAAGCAGAATGTCCGCGTGCATTCAAGAAGAAGACAGCGCGAGAGCTCGGTTTCTATTATCGGAACAATGCAGCATCTTGGATGGTGGGCCCGCTACATAAGGAATGGCTGCGTGATTGGGATAAGCGACTACGGAGAGAAAACTGCAAGATTTTGCTCCTGTAAGATAATTTCAAAGGCCACAAGTACCCGAAACGTCTTACAAACATCCGTGTCGTCCCCTTTGAGCCCAATCTCACATCCCACGTTCAGCCGCTTGACGCTGGGATCATTCGGTGTTTCAAAGCCAACTACCGTCGACTGTTCATGCAACGTGCCCTCGAACGTTTTGATTCCGGCGTTACTGCAGCCCAAATCTACCACATCGACCAACTGGCAGCTATGCGGCTTGCAGACGAAGCATGGCGGCAAGTCAGTGGAGACACAATCAAAAACTGTTGGCACAAATCTGGCATTCTTGGCGCAGAATGCTATGCTCGCAATGCAAGCATGGACTCCCTCCTCTCTACATCTTCCCTTTCCGAACCCCTGAGTTCCTCAGACGAAAGCAGCGATGGCAACATTGCCACGGCTGCTCGTAGTCAGTCACGGGTTCCAGCAGATGGTGATGGAGACAATGACCCTGTCGCTGAGCTGGAAGACATCCTGGATGAGCTGGAGCGGCGTGGAGCCTTGCATAAAAACAATCGACTGGCAACAACGGAGCTCATCGACATCTCAGAGGAGAATGAGATGATGTCTGAGGAGCTGACTGACGAGCAGATCAAGGCTGCTGTCGAGGCAAGGAAAGCTGACGGTAGACACAATGATGATGACGACGAAGATACAGAGACTCCTGACCCTCCCACATACTGGGAAGTTCACGAGGCAACTGCACTCCTTCGGCGTTTCCTCGCAGATCGGGATGACATCTATGCGCGACAGCTGGAGGCTAATCTGTCACGTTTAACACGCGATACACATCGTGAGCAGGTCAAAATTCAGTCTCCCACTTTGATTACAGACTACTTTACACGTTAAGCATAGCTACACCCTCAAAATCAATATATTTCCGAAAATTTCCTTTTTGGGAATTTATTCCCACCCTCCTCCAAACCCATATGTCCCACTAACCCATACGATCCTATGTCCACCGACCCTTATAGGTTATGTAGACTTCGACTGTATGCGATGACAGCCGCCGTTAATTATGGCTCGGTGTCGATGACACAGTGCCGATGACACAGTATCGGGGCATGGCGAACCAACACTAATACCTTCAGTTGACCAAAAATTGCTCAGAGATCCATACTATCTGTGTCTGATAATCAGCCCCCACCTACGTACAAGTTTCTTAAGAAAAATCTCAAAGTTTTATGGGAACTTGTGTATTGCTCAAGTACTCGTGCATACCAATACTAAATTCTACCCACTCTTGGGGAACTTAAAACTTTATCTATTATCACCAACTACCAGCAATGTATGTGTCTGCACATTCATAAGCAGCACCACTGGCAGGGACCTGTCCTAGTGTCAGTACCCTGGCCCCAGTAATGCATTGGAGTTGAACCTCAGTGGAAATTGTAATTTGTCACTAGTTCCCAGCCCATGAGTGAGGATCAGATCCGACTAGCAGAATCCGGCCAGCGGAGGCGGCGCGATGAGCTGAGTGCGCACGTAGAGTAGCCATGTGATGGAGGGTAGGCCAAGCCACAGAAAACAGGATTGCAGTATGCTGCAATAACTACTGGATCTCGAGAGTCGAGTCTCCAACCTGACTGCGTGCCGGCACAGAAGCAGTCCAGCAGGAATGGCACAAGCACATTAGGCTATAGCGACAGGCTGCAGACTGCACTGTGATGGAAGACATGCATGGAGGCTGTGCTGGTCCACCTGCATGCGTGTCTGGGGAGGCGGGGATATATAGGCCGATGCGACTCGGAATGCGCGGCCCGCAGGGCAGTGAGCCGCCAGCGGATAACATCCGGGGGCTCGGATCGAGCTGGAATATGTCAGGGGAACCCCCGCTTCGGCCTCCTTCGGACCCTCCAAGCGCATCCGAGGCGCATCCGACCGGCGCCCCTTCGGACGCTCCGACCCACCCCGACCATCGTCCACGGCCTCCTTCGCCCGCACAATCACCGATCCGTCAAGACCCTCCCAACAAGCACCTTGGGACAGAGCCTGTGACGCCGCTCAGGCCTTCTGCGCTCTACGTCGGCAGTTACGGACGACCAGTATATAGTTGGCGCCCTAGCAGGCGGATCCTTAGAGTTTCTTCTCTTTGGATCCTCCCCTGCTAGGTCGGTCCCTCCGTGTATTTCCTGTAGTCTTATTCACCCTCTGGATCCTCCCCTGCTAGGCTTTC